ATCTATAGTTATCACACCTGTAATACCATCTATAGGTATCACACCTGTAATACCATCTATAGGTATCACACCTGTAATACCATCTATAGGTATCACACCTGTAATACCATCTATAGGTATCACACCTGTAATACCTATCACACCTGTAATACCATCTATAGGTATCACACCTGTAATACCATCTATAGGTATCACACCTGTAATACCATCTATAGGTATCACACCTGTAATACCATCTATAGGTATCACACCTGTAATACCATCTATAGGTATCACACCTGTAATACCATCTATAGGTATCACACCTGTAATACCATCTATAGGTATCACACCTGTAATACCATCTATAGTTATCACACCTGTAATACTATCTATAGGTATCACACCTGTAATACCATCTATAGGTATCACACCTGTAATACCATCTATTGGTATGGAGGGAGAAACAGACCGATATCTTCAGCATCTTTGTCGGTATCATTGATCCTATTTCAAAGTTCCTTTAGTGTAATCATCAAATTAACTACACACACAGCTAGTACACATGACTGTCTCATTCTCTACTTTACTGCATTAGCTATAAACATCTCTCTTTTGTGTTTTGTAGGCGTGATGTAAACTGTGCAATAATTGTGCAGTATTTGTACCATATATATCCGGAACCATATTTGGTATTCCTCGTGCTCCCTATATTTGGTATCCTCGTGCTTCCTATATTTGGTATCCTCGTGCTGTCTATATTTGGTATCCTCGTGCTCCCGGTGTTTGGTATTCTCGTGCTTCCTATATTTGGTATCCTCGTGCTGCCTATATTTGGTATCCTCGTGCTCCCTATATTTGGTATCCTCGTGCTCCCTATATTTGGTATCCTCTTGTCCCTGTGTTTGGTATTCCTCGTGCTTCCTATATTTGGTATCCTCGTGCTCCCTATATTTGGTATCCTCGTGCTTCCTATATTTGGTATCCTCGTGCTGTCTATATTTGGTATCCTCGTGCTCCCTATATTTGGTATCCTCGTGCTGCCTATATTTGGTATCCTCGTGCTGCCTATATTTGGTATCCTCGTGCTCCCTATATTTGGTATCCTCGTGCTGCCTATATTTGGTATCCTCGTGCTCCCTATATTTGGTATCCTCTTGTCCCTGTGTTTGGTATTCCTCGTGCTTCCTATATTTGGTATCCTCGTGCTTCCTATATTTGGTATCCTCGTGCTCCCTACATTCGGTATCCTCGTGCTTCCTATATTCGGTATCCTCGTGCTCCCTATATTTGGTATCCTCGTGCTTCCTATATTTGGTATTCCTCGTGCTGCCTATATTTGGTATCCTCGTGCTCCCTGTATTTGGTATCCTCTTGTCCCTGTGTTTGGTATTCCTCGTGCCTCCTACATTTGGTATCCTCGTGCTCCCTATATTTGGTATCCTCGTGCTTCCTCTATTTGGTATTCCTCGTGTTCCCTATATTTGGTATCCTCGTGCTCCCTATATTTGGTATCCTCGTGCTTCCTCTATTTGGTATTCCTCGTGCTCCCTACATTTGGTATCCTCGTGCTCCCTATATTTGGTATCCTCGTGCTTCCTCTATTTGGTATTCCTCGTGCTCCCTACATTTGGTATTCCTCGTGCTCCCTGTGTTTGGTATTCCTCGTGCTCCCTACATTTGGTATCCTCGTGCTTCCTATATTTGGTATCCTCGTGCTCTCTACATTTGCTATCCTCGTGCTCTCTACATTTGGTATCCTCGTGCTTCCTATATTTGGTATCCTCGTGCTTCCTATATTTGGTATCCTCGTGCTCCCTATATTTGCTATCCTCGTGCTTCCTCTATTTGGTATTCATCGTGCTTCCTAAATTTGGAATCCTCGTACTTCCTTGAATCATGCTTAAAATGAAACCTCCACAGGACATCTATTCTTGTAATTTTCTAGTATTGTTGAACATTAATAAGAGAGGTTCATGTTCTGTTACCTGATTAAAATGGAACTGTATTCCCGTGATATTTCACTCAAGATCCACAATCCATACCCTGCTATACAAATTCAAAGACTTGAATGGGGAAGAATATCTGTCAACCAGACCCATCCATCTTACCAATAAGGGAAAAAATAATTATTTTTCCCGTTGTGTGCTTTTGGGCCTTTCCGTGATGTGTTGATGTCATGACGTCATTGCTATGGGATGCATCCCCCCCTCAGGGTGAGAAGAAAGCTTAATCCCAATATGATTGAAAAAAACAAGATTCCCAAAATAACGGGTATCAGTGATCCAGCTCCACCTGTAGTGAATATCTTAGGAATAAAAATTTCCAGTTGGGGTCGTGTGCCAGCTTACAGCACAAAACATAAATCGAACAAGACTATTCTCATGGGACATCCTGAACTTCTGTGCAAGTCTTAATCTTCCTGTATAGAGAATACAAAGCATCGGACAACAGTTCGGAAATTTTACACACTTCCGTCAGCGTTATCACTAAATCAACCCAAACTACAAGGTCCCCAAAGTACTTACTGTGATGATGCTGAACGGGGTTGGACCATCTCCATATCTGCTGTCTCTCCAGTTACTTTAGAATACCGCCTGGTTTTAAGTCCGATCGCTTCCACACGGCTCTCAATTAGTACCAGTGAAAGTTTTCATAAATATAACATTAGGGATATATACGGCACTCCACAGAGCTACACAGGTAAAGTCTTACTACGGCGCTAAGTTGCCAGGCGACATCTGCTACCGTACTATATTAATCACACGACTTGTTCATTTGCCAGAGAAGTAGAAAGCTCAATGAAAAATCTAATTTAGATTTAAAAGTTATTCTGTAGAGGATTGGAGATTTATTTCTTCAATTTTATCTTAACATGATACAATATGAAGTTAAATTTCAAAAGCAGTGACATTTAAAAGTTAAATATATTGATATTTTATTGATTTAAGTAAATAGAAACGTTTTTAAACAGCGGATCGATAGTCTACTTGTAAAATGGTGGGGGGAATTACAATGAAGAAATAGGTAAACACTAAAATAACCATATTTATTTTCTATCAGCTTTCAATTAGTGATAGCACTGCGCACTGCATTCAAGTCTACTTAAATGTGAACAGGTAACATCGGCCGGTATACATTGGAGGGTTGGGATGATTGTAAACCTAATCCTACAGGCGATTAAAGATCTGAATATGTGTCGAGGGCCGCTTATCTCGACATATTCAACTAGTGTCGACAATGAATGTGTTTTAGGTGTATTTGGATAGCAAATTCAATTTAGATTTTCGAGAGTAATCATACTTACCACAGTGTAATCTCAATATTTATGTAAATATGTTTGTACAATGCAATACTAGTGTAATCACCACGTGCTCGTGACCGTATAATAAAAGTCATTAACGATTAATTCTAGTTTGATGTGGTAAATTCCGATCGGATGAATGTAAATAGTTCTCTACTATTATACGTCCGTAAATCAAGCAAGGATATTATACATCTTAATGGTTTGTACAATTTAATAGCTACCATAATTGTGTGCGTATATATACTGTTCAATTTAGGTTAGGAACCGAACTAGTTTAAGAATAACTCACTTGATTCAAGTAGGGTAGGCTTTGTTATGGTACTGTTTTGAATAATGTTTTGTCTAATTGACTCTGATTAAACACGGTCGTGCCCACCTAGAGCAGGAATTTTATAACAGACAACTAATAATTAATTAATACCCCCATAGCGCCCTCGCGAGCGCACACACACACACACGCACGCACGCACGCACACACACTCACACTCGCACATACACACACACTCGCACACACACACACGCACACACAAAGGGTTTATAGACAACGTTTCATCAATGACCTTGAAGTACCCTAGTGATGTACATTTCACTTATGATGTTCCATCTCCTTTCATAAAGTCATGAGGTCATTGCATAAATAAATATGTAGTAACCCGGTTACCCATAATATGTCAATATTTTTGGGTAGTTTCGTTAAAAATTGGTGCCTCAGTTTAGAAGTCAGGACAAGATCCCTCTATTCCTAATTTTTATTTCGTGATCATGGCAACCAAATGGCGTAGAATATTTTAAAAAAATAGTAATTACCATATTTAAAACTTTTGTGTATCAATTTTCAGCATAATCGGATATCTCCTATTCTACAAACCCATTATGTTTCCATAGTAACGGCTCTACATACATCTGATGTGTCAAATTAGGAGTTTTCATATGTTACAACATTTCACCAAGTTTCATTAAAATTGATCCGAGGATTAATGAGCTGTCATTACACAAAATCTGGAGTTCATTGACTTGGTTACCATGCTGGAAAACATGTTATATAAATATCTACACAAGATGCCTAACATAATGGTGAAGCTTTCATTGAAATTGGTTCATATAGACATGTCCTACAAAATCGGTTCATAAGGACTGGTTCTATGAAATCGGTTCATCAGGACATGTTCTATGAAACCGGTTCATAAGGACTGGTTCTACGAAATCGGTTCATAAGGACATTAAGTGACAAAATCATCACTAGCGCCGTCGTCAGGTGACGTCATATTGACGTTGTGACGCTATATTGACGTCGTGGCGTTCTCACAACTTCCTTTCGGGCTGTTCGAACGTGTTGACATCAGCGTCGTCGAAGTGTAATATAAACGCGGGTGCTTTTTTTTAAAATCTACTCCAATTTCACCTGAAATATATCTCAACGTATGATCAGAAAATGTGATTATGTGCATAGTCTTGTGCGACTTCTGTATCCCCAAACCCTTAAAAAACACCTACGTTTCTAGTCGAAAACAGCAACCTCATCTAAAGAAGTAACTCAGACAAGTTATATACAGAATAACTTTCATATTTATTCCATATCCACGACATAAGGACTGAATTTCTTTCTGTGCGACCACCTTAAGGGAATATATACCTTTACTAGTAACAGACACCAGGTATGGCACGTGATAGCCCTAAATGAACGTATTGATATTTTGTGAATACCATCCTTAATCATGATGCTAAACAGCGAGCGACACATTTATCTAACGTCATCATCCTTGAATATCACATATCCAGCAGGCATTATAGAAGAGTTTACAAACGAAGAAGATGCCAAATTAACAAACAAAAGAGGCTTGGTCATTATGATAAGTGATAATGTATGATCAAGTTGTGATAAAGTTTGTGTCCGTGTGGCATACACGCGTTTATTTGTCACACAGTAGGCATCGCTTTCAGCTTGAAGGGAAGGGGTGAGCGGACGAAGGAGTAGCCACCCATCTTGTCGTATGAGGGGCCTTCTGGCTTGTACAACTCGCACCTTTGAAGAACGTTGACCAGGAAGAGAAAGACTTCTAGTCGGGCAAGGCTTTCCCCCAGACACCTCCGCTTTCCGAACCCAAACGATACTGTCATGTCAACTTTCGCCTGGTCCAAAGTGCCGTCCATCTTAAGGAATCTTTCTGGATCAAATTCGTCAGGGTTGTCCCATAGGTCTGGGTCAAACGAGGTGCCATATACGTCGAAGAAAATAGCTGTGTTTTGTGGTATAAGATATCCTCGGAACGTAACGTCACGCAACGTTCCGTGTGGAACGGCCATCGGCAAGGTTGCCGCCGTTCGGAGTACCTCGAGCATTACTGCCTCAACGTAAGGAAGTTTAGCGCGGTCATGTACTGTCACGGTTCGGCTTCCTAGCACATTATCCAGCTCGTCGCGCGCTTTTGCTTGTACTTTCGGGTTTTCAGCGAGATACATGAAACCCCAGGTCAGTGTTGCAGCCACGGTGTCAAAGCCAGCTCCTATATAGTCGTGCACCGTTTCCATGATCATCTTGTTTGTGAGGCCTACTTTCAGTTTGTCATCTGCTGAGTAAGTGTAAGTCGCGTGCAGGAGACCGTCTGTTGCATCTCCAAGGTGATCGGCATCGTACGTTTTCTTGTGGTAGTTTATCTTTTTGGCAGCTAATTTTCCCATCCTGTATAGAATACTGAAGATACCTTTATATTTCCAAGGAGTCAGAAAAGCCATGAAGGCCATCACATCGAAGGGATTTCCGACTTTTGTGAAGTTTTTGAAATCGCTGAAATTTCGGATTAGATACGACAGCTGTTTATCCTCCTTAGCACTTTTGCCTCTGCCGTACACAACCTGGAGGATAACACTACCTACAGAAAAGGATATGTTCTCACTTGGATCAAATGGTTCACCACTGTGATCGAGGAACTCCTTGACCAGATTTTCTGCTTGTTCCTGTACCATTTCAGTTATAGGATTGTTCCTCGTTCCTGTGAACATCTTCAATACATTTCCGGCAATTTTTCGATGTAAGACCCAGCGGGGATTGTACTTGCCGAATACGAGACCTTTAGCGCCCCCAATCAGTCTATTTATGAAAAATAAAGGCCGGTCTGAAAATTCTTCCATGCTAAGAGCTTCTTTGAAGGCATCCTTACCGCTAATGACTACTGTGGGCCACATGCCCATCCGAATACTGTAAATATCGCCATACTGTTTTCGCAGCGTACGAAACCCCTGCAGTGACCCGTGCTTGTTGAAGAAAGGTATATTTCCGACGACTGGGTAACTCCGTGGACCGGGGGGTAGAATACCTCTTGGTTTCCCGTGGCTGAGTGTATAGACCTGTAACAGCCTAGTAAGCAACAACACTACCACGAAAGTTATCAACATACCACACAGGTTCTGGTGGATACCCATCTCGTTCAGAATATTTGTATGGAACGCCATTCCCTCCAGTAAAGTCATGGCTATTCAGGATTCTTTAGATGAGATGGCCCGGTATTTTCTGAGGAAGTGGTGGACTTTCTTGCTGTGGTCAGTTGACCCAAATCTTGTTCCTATGTACTGGTCTCGTGGCTTCTTTAAATTTGTACACTGTTCATTATTCCCTGGGCTTGACCAATCAGTATCGCCGACACTGCTCTCTCAGGTCTGACCAACTCTACAAAAAACCAAGACCATGTAAATGAAATTTCATATAACTATAACATACCGCCGTATCAAACACATGACTAATAACTAAAATATTTCATTTAGATTGCTGAATGTCCATTTTAAGACTGTGTCGAATGTCTTCGTCAGATTAAGGCAAGTTTTCAAGTCAATATAGAGCCCACGTATGTCAGTTAAGGCTACGATCTGTTCTGTTATATATGATGGTACAAGAGGTTATTAGGGCCTGTAACGCCCATCTTGATATTTAAGTTTTTCATCAAAACAATTTTAGTCATTACTTCTAAAAAATATTAAGTCACATTTAAGGGGTAGGAGTGGTCTGTCCCATCGTTTAAAAGTGAGACCCTTTCACCCAATATGCTTCAAACCAAATTTGGACAAAATAAAAAAAATCCTGATAGTAAACACCGAGTCCCTTTCGCTCAAAGATGCTTCAGACCACCATATCTGGACGAAATTCAATACTTCCCAGAGAATTCTAAAGACCGTATCAAATTTCTCATTTTTAGGCCTCGCCCCTGAGGCCCCGAGATCCAAAATTTATTTTAAAAAATGGATCCCGTTCAACCAAAAAATGGTTTACACCAGTCACGGTATAAAGGTTACAGGTCGCTAGGACCAGGGGAGCGAACTTACGATAAAGAGGAATTCCTGAGAGATTAGTTTTCAAAAGAAGTAATTGATACTCAGCAATCTATGATTTGATATCGTGCAGCAGTTGGAAGAGATTGGGATATAACGTTGTTCGCCGCCTTCAAGTCCTGCCGGCTAGTTTAATGCGCCCCTACACCGAGTTTCCCGAGGGGAATTCCGTGATGTTCTATATTTAGATTCCAGCGTGCCAGATCAAAAATTATATAAAAAAAAGTCTTATAAACAACGAAAACATGCGTGTACATGAAAAGTTCAATACTTTCTGTATTCAGCTGAGAACCGCACGCCATTGATATTTCCATCATGAAAATATCAACATCATCGTTCGTGTCTAAAAATGTAACTTATATAACGCCCGCCATTTTGGATACAAACTACGAGATCAGTATCATTTCTAAAATTAAAACGTATTTCCTGGTAGATATAAATTCACCATTATTGACATTAAACAAATATTTGTCTGTTATTGTAAATTACCTGCTTTTGAAGGCTTTGTCCCCGTCACGTATGTATTACATTCACTTCCCGTACGATCGTCTGTAGTACATGTGTACCGAGCCTGAGACGTGCGTGTGAACTCGGGCAAGAAGAAAATAATTAACACTTTTTACAGTGGTAGTAGGATACCCAATGGCACCCATAAAACCGTGACAGACGAAACAGCTATATATTTGTTTCATCGTTCCTAGTATAAAAATTGTACTTACACGCGTGCAGGCGATATTCACATAGTTAAAGGACGCATATTGATACAAAAGTCCCGCTGAAATTTGTCCATTTGCTAATAACACAAGTTTGACACAAAACCACGCGAATAATAAGCATTCTTTCGTTTGTAGTTTTATATTGTTCTATACACTCATTATAAAGCATGCTATAATAACCTGAAATGCCACGGACGAACGGACAAAATGTTCGCTCGTCATTTACGTCATACAGAGTCAACAAATCCCAATTGGTTTAGACTCCTACTGGCCCAAGGGAGATAAGGGGTATCAACATTTACAACTGAAATCACCGAGTTGCGTAAAATTATTGTTTGTAATTTAAAGAAGCTAGGAACAATGATAAATATATCAGAACACCAAGTTAACATTACCGTAAATAATGATTTCCGGGATGAAATCTTGGAAAATAGACATACTATTTTGTACAATACCACGATAAAATACTGTTGTACTGGTCACTTAGTGGTCAAGATTTTGGAAGTTTTAGGAGTAATGAGATTTTGCCGAAGAGGGATGAAGCTCCGTTGGTGGTTTTATAGATTTTTAATGTCAATCTTCGTGGAAATGACATGATTATTTGTTTGTGATTATCACATGATTTATTTATAAGGATCCAGAAAAGACAACTATTTACATATGAAAATAGAGAAAAAACCTCTCTCAGTGTGAAAGTAGTAATCAGCGGTAGGGCTATCAATTAAATCTTATAACAAACTAAACAACGGGGGTCACTGACTGGTAACCGTCAGGGTTGAAGGGGTCACTGACTGGTACACGCCAGGGTTGAAGGGATCACTGACTGGTAACCGTCAGAGTTGAGAGGTTCACTGACTGGTAACCGTCTGGGTTGAAGGGCTCACTGACTGGTAAACGCCAGGGTTGAAGGGGTCACTGCTGGTAACCGTCAGGGTTGAAGGAGTAACTAAGTGGTAACTGTCAGGGTTGAAGGGGTAACTGACAGAAAACCGTCAGGGTTGAGGGGTCACTGACAGAAAACCGTCAGGGTTGAAGGGGTCACTGACTGGTAACCGTCAGGGTTGAGGGGTCACTGACAGAAAACCGTCAGGGTTGAGAGGTTCACTGACTGGTAACTGTCAGGGTTGAAGGGGTTACTGACGGAAAACCGTCAGGATTGAAGGGGTCACTGACTGGTAACGCCAGGGTTGAAGGGGTCACTGACTGGTAACTTCAGGGTTGAAGGGATCACTGACTGGTAACGTCAGGGTTGAAGGGGTCACTGACTGGTAACCGTCTGGGTTGAAGGGATCACTGACTGGTAAACGCCAGAGTTGAGGGGGTCACTGACTGGTATCCGTCAGGGTTGAAGGGGTCACTGACTGGTAAACGCCAGGGTTGAAGGGATCACTGACTGGTAACGTCAGGGATGGAGTGGTCACGGACTGGTAAACGCCAGGGTTGAAGGGGTTCACTGACTGGTAACCGTCTGGGTTGAGGGATTCACTGACTGGTACCCGTCTGGGTTGAGGGGTTCACTGACTGGTAACTGTCTGGGTTGTAGGGGTCACTGACTGGTAACCGCCTGGGTTGAAGGGTTCACTGACTGGTAACCGTCAGGGTTGAGGGGGTCAGGATTCATAATAAGCTGACATATCACGTTACATATAACTAATATCGGTAAGGATTCCAGTAACTGCATTAATCCATGCTACAAATCTGCCGCGAGATGAAATGTCATTCAATTTACGCATAACAAATATTCGCGTATTCTGCTAGTGTATATAAAAATAATTCGTGTAAAATGTCGATTCGAGAGAACAAATCAAGATCTCAGGGAAGGATGGAAGCTTTTGTTTTCTGGACCTAGTTATTTATCTAGATTCACGGGACAATGCTCCTATACCAAATACAGCATTCAAATCAGCGAACCGTAACGGCCAGGGTTGTACTGTCCACTACGGACGACCCGAATATGAATCTGCATTAAGTGATACTTCGGTATTACACGTACCTTACAATTTCAGATTAATTATTAAAACAACCCGGGAGTGCTACTTAATTCATTGTTCAGACACATCACCTACCTGTCTGGTACCTGCTTTGTCACCATGCTATCTAAACGCTCGTGCAGTCACGGGTGAGTAAGGTCTCCACCGGGTGTCACCGGAAGCGCCGTTTCTGCCGCGGAACATACAGTATCAAAGTGTGAAGGGAAACATTGAAAAAAAAAGAAAAGTCATGGAGAGGTGAAGTTTCTAATTACCTTTCGATCATTTTATCGGGGGAAAGGTATCGAGGCGGTTATCAAGATCTCGAAAATATCTTAACTAATGCATATTCCCTATAAAAACACTGAAACAGAGTTCCGAATGTCACAACATTAGGTAACCTCGCTGGGGAACATCTTAAATGTGAAAAAGAAAGATGAGATAATGTCGGTTTTGTGATTCTATAGATATATGACCGCCACAATGAACCCCTCAACCCTGGAAAATACTTGGTGGAGTGTCAGACTATTAAGTCAGGGGTACCGGATTAGATTCCTAGCGGAAACATTGATATGAATAATGATCTCTGTTACAATAAGTGTTTCACTGTTTTTACCAAATGAAAGATCACGAAGAGATTTTATTTTTCAGACTAAAACTGGTGATGTTTTTCCCCGCTTGAAGTCTGAAGGACACATTTATTATGTCTTATGATTTAATTAACTAAATAAAAGGTAGCGACGAGACATAATAGACGTTTAAATCATTTAAACTCTTGACCCTAGTTCCCGATGCTCCAGTGTACATCTGAAACAGACAGCCTAGTTAGTGACCCCATCTAAATATAGCCTGTTATATCTACCTGATCTACACTTTGACCTCAATACAGAACAACAACATAACGCTACACAACATGGATATCGTGACGATTCTAGTCCTGATCGCCACTATATTTCTGTGTGTTAAGTTCCTCCACAGGAGAGTACACGACCAGAAGCTACCACCGGGGCCATGGGGGTTTCCAATAATTGGACACCTCCCTTTGTTCGGTACACATCCTCCAAATACTTTTGCTAAATGGCGTCAGAAATATGGAGACATTTTCAGAATTCGGATCGGGACTAACGATACAGTGGTTGTGAGTGGACGGGACACGATAAAGGAAGTTCTAGGTGGGGACACGTGTGAGGTTTTCTCCGATAGGCCTGCCTTCTTCACCACCAAGCTCATTGGAGGGGACCGAGGTCTGACGTTTAGCTATTACACTCCCAGATATGTCCACCATAGAACGGTAGCTACCAGTGTTCTAAAAACGTTCACCGACAGCCGGAACACCACGGTACCGGATGTGGTTGAAAACGAGGCAAGCATTTTAGTCAAGGAATTCCTTGAGCACAATGGGGAACCATTTGATCCTCGGGAGTCACTTTTCGTGGCTACAGGAAGTATTATATACCAGATTTGTTATGGTATGGGGACAAATGGACGTGAGGACACGGATCTAATGGAACTTGTCAGAGAAAATAAAGCGTTCAATGAGTTTGTTAGAGCTGGCAGCCCTTTTGATGCTATGCCCTTTCTACGATATATTCTACCAGGGAAATTTCAAAAGTTCCTTCGTTTGGTTTCAAATTCAGATTTGTTTCGTGATAGGAAGATTGCAGAACACAAAGAAACGTTCCAAGAATCCGATTTGCGAGACGCAACTGACTGTCTCATCAGTGCTGCTGGTCGACTTAGCGAAGAAGAGAAATCTCGCGTGGGACTACTGGATCACGTGATCCTGGAGTCAGTGGGGGAGTTTGTTGGAGCAGGTTTCGATACAACAGCCAGTGTCCTGTCATGGGCATTTATGTACATCGCCGAACATCAAGACATCCAGACCAAAATACAACAGGAAATGGACGCGGTGATTGGGATAAGGTCAGTTAGGCCCCAGGACCGATCGAAATTACCTTACACGGAAGCCGCCATTTTGGAAACCATCCGCATTTCTGCCATTGTTCCTTTTGGAATTCCGCATGCTACGAAATGTGATGTCAAAATCCACGGTTATTTCATTCCAAAAGGCACTGCAGTGTTTTTCAATTTGTACTCTGTCAATTTTGAAGAAGAGATATGGCAGAATCCCCATAACTTTGACCCGGAAAGGTTTCTCACTGACGATGGCAAACTAAACCAAAAGCTAACCGCCAATATCATGTCATTTGGATATGGAAAACGTCGATGCATTGGTGAGATTTTAGCGCGAATGGAACTCTTTCTCTTGTTCACCAATGTGTTACAAAAGTGTTCACTGGAAAAACCTGTCGGAGAAACGTATGACAAAGAAGGGGTGTTCCATCTCGTGCGGAAACCGCACCCGTATCGTGTACGAGTATTGCAGAGATGCTGCATTTGAACCCACGTGAAATCTAGAACGAAGGAGAAAATCTGCAAATGTACGTGACAAATATGGTCCGATTCTACTTAAACCTAACTCAAAAAGAAATTTATAAACGTTCGTCTATATTAGGGTTGACTACAGTAGCACAACATTGTAATATCTTCCGTATATTGGTTTATGTAAATATGGTCCTTTGAATTTGAAGAAGAATAAGAGTTAAATATATAAATTTCTATTATGAAATATGAATGTATTTTATGTATTTGAGAAGTGTAATAAGTCTGAAGGTCCGTAAAATGGCTATTTTGAACAACGGTCACTAGAGATTGGGATTTCCTGAGACTTTTGGTAAAATCTTTCATCAACTCAAACCTATAATCGGTTCTCATGTCGTCATAGCAAGGCGAAAAGAGCGGCTACGATGCAAACTCAATACCAAAAATATCAAAACACAAAAACAACAACAAAACAACACCAAAAATATCGAAACACCAAAACAACACCAAAAATATCGAAACACCAAAACAACACCAAAAATATTTAAATACCAAAACAACACAAAAACAACACAAAATTTTCAAAACACAAAAACAACGCCAAAACAACACCAAAAATATCAAAAAACAAAAACAACACAAAATTTTCAAAACACAAAAACAACGCCAAAACAACACTAAAAATATCAAAACACCTAAACAACACCAAAAATATCAAAACACCAAAACAACACCAAAAATATCAAAACACCGAAACAACACCAAAAATATTAAAATACCAAAACAACACCAAAACAACACCAACAGTATCAAAACACAAAAACAACACCAGAAGTATCAAAACACAAAAACAACACCAAAAATATTAAAACACCAAAACAACACCAAAAATATCAAAACACCTAAACAACACCAAAAATATCAAAACACCAAAACAACACCAAAAATATTAAAACACCAAAACAACACCAACAGTATCAAAACACAAAAACAACACCTAAAATATCAAAACACCAAAACAACACCAGAAGTATCAAAACACCAAAACAACACCAGAAGTATCCAAAATACCAAAACAACACCAACAGTATCAAAACACAAAAACAACACCAAAAATATCAAAACACAAAAACAACACCAAAAATATCAACAAAACACCAAAACAACACCAGAAGTATCAAAACACCAAAACAACACCAGAAGTATCCAAAATACCAAAACAACACCAACAGTATCAAAACACAAAAACCACACCAAAAATATCAAAACACCAAAACAACACCAAAAATATCAAAACACCTAAACAACACCAAAAATATCAAAACACCAAAACAACACCAACAATATTAAAACACCAAAACAACACCAAGAGTATCAAAACACAAAAACAACACCAAAAATATTAAAACACCTAAACAACACCAAAAATATCAAACACATAAACAACACCAAAAATATCAAAACACCAAAACAACACCAAAAACATTAAAACACCAAAACAACACCAACAGTATCAAAACACCAAAACAACACCAGAAGTATCAAAACACCAAAACAACACCAGAAGTATCCAAAATACCAAAACAACACCAACAGTATCAAAACACAAAAACAACACCAAAAATATCAAAACACCAAAACAACACCAAAAATATCAAAACACCAAAACAACACCAGAAGTATCAAAACACCAAAACAACACCAGAAGTATCCAAAATACCAAAACAACACCAACAGTATCAAAACACCAAAACAACACCAAAAATATCAAAACACCAAAACAACACCAAAAATATCAAAACACCAAAACAACACCAAAAATATTAAAACACCAAAACAAAACAACACCAGAAATATCCAAAATACCAAAACAACACCAACAGTATCAAAACACAAAAACAACACCAAAAATATTAAAACACCAAAACAACACCAAAACAACAACAACAACAGTATCAAAACACAAAAACAACACCAAAATATTCAAACACCAAAACAACACCAAAAATATCAAAACACCAAAACAATATTAAAACACCAAAACAACACCAACAGTATCAAAACACAAAAACAACACCAAAAATATCAAAACACCAAAACAACACCAGAAGTATCAAAACACCAAACCAACACCAGAAGTATCCAAAATACAAAAAACAACACCAACAGTATCAAAACACAAAAACAACACCAAAAATATCAAAACACCAAAACAACACCAAAAATATCAAAACACCAAAACAACACCAAAAATATTAAAACACCAAAACAACACCAACAGTATCAAAACACCAAAACAACACCAGAAATATCCAAAATACCAAAACAACACCAACAGTATCAAAACACAAAAACAACACCAAAAATATTAAAACACCAAAACAACACCAAAACAACAACAACAGTATCAAAACACAAAAACAACACCAAAAATATCAAAACACCTAAACAACACCAAAAATATCAAAACACCAAAACAACACCAACAGTATCAAAACACCAAAACAACACCAACAGTATCAAAACACAAAAACAACACCAAAAATATTAAAACACCAAAACAACACCAAAAATATCAAAACACCTAAACAACACCAAAAATATCAAAACACCAAAACAACACCAAAAATATCAAAACACCAAAACAACACCAGAAGTATCAAAACACCAAAACAACACCAGAAGTATCCAAAATACCAAAACAACACCAACAGTATCAAAACACCAAAACAACACCAAAAATATTAAAATACCAAAACAACACCAAAACAACACCAACAGTATCAAAACACAAAAACAACACCAGAAGTATCAAAACACAAAAACAACACCAAAAATATTAAAACACCAAAACAACACCAAAAATATCAAAACACCTAAACAACACCAACAGTATCAAAACACAAAAACAACACCAAAAATATTAAAACACCAAAACAACACTAACAGTATCAAAACACCAAAACAACACCAGAAATATCCAAAATACCAAAACAACACCAACAGTATCAAAACACAAAAACAACACCAAAAATATTAAAACACCAAAACAACACCAAAACAACAACAACAACAGTATCAAAACACAAAAACAACACCAAAAATATCAAAACACCAAAACAACACCAAAAATATTAAAACACCAAAACAACACCAACAGTATCAAAACACAAAAACAACACCAAAAATATCAAAACACCAAAACAACACCAGAAGTATCAAAACACCAAACCAACACCAGAAGTATCCAAAATACCAAAACAACACCAACAGTATCAAAACACAAAAACAACACCAAAAATATCAAAACACCAAAACAACACCAAAAATATCAAAACACCAAAACAACACCAAAAATATTAAAACACCAAAACAACACCAACAGTATCAAAACACAAAAACAACACCAGAAATATCCAAAATACCAAAACAACACCAACAGTATCAAAACACAAAAACAACACCAAAAATATTAAAACACCAAAACAACACCAAAACAACAACAACAGTATCAAAACACAAAAACAACACCAAAAATATCAAAACACCTAAACAACACCAAAAATATCAAAACACCAAAACAACACCAACAGTATCAAAATACCAAAACAACACCAAAACAACACCAGAAATATCCAAAATACCAAAACAACACCAACAGTATCAAAACACAAAAACAACACCAAAAATATTAAAACACCAAAACAACACCAAAAATATCAAAACACCTAAACAACACCAAAAATATCAAAACACCAAAACAACATCAAAAATATCAAAACACCAAAACAACACCAGAAGTATCAAAACACCAAAACAACACCAAAAATATTAAAATACCAAAAAAACACCGGAAGTATCAAAACACCAAAACAACACCAAAAATATTACAATACCAAAACAACACCAACACAACACCAACAGTATCAAAACACAAAAACAACACAAAACAACAAAAATATCCAAAACACAACACCAAAAATATTAAAACACCAAAACAACACCAAAAATATCAAAACACCTAAACAACACCAACAGTATCAAAACACAAAAACAACACCAAAAATATTAAAACTCCAAAACAACACCAAAAATATCAAAACACATAAACAACACCAAAAATATCAAAACACCAAAACAACACCAAAAATATTAAAACACCAAAACAACACCAAAAATATTAAAACACCAAAACAACACCAACAGTATCAAAACACCAAAAACAACACCAGAAATATCAAAACAACAAAATTACAACACCAAAAATATTAAAACACCAAAACAACACCAAAACAACAACAACAACAGTATCAAAACACAATAACAACACCAAAATATTCAAACACCAAAACAACACCAAAAATATCAAAACACCAAAACAACACCAAAAATATTAAAACACCAAAACAACACCAAAAATATTAAAACACCAAAACAACACCAACAGTATCAAAATACAAAAACAACACAAATAGTATCAAAACACAAAAACAACACCAAAAATATTAAAACACCAAAACAACACCAAAAATATCAAAACACCTAAACAACACCAAAAATATCAAAACACCAAAACAACACCAACAGTATCAAAACACCAAAACAACACCAGAAATATCCAAAATACCAAAACAACACCAACACTATCAAAACACAAAAACAACACCAAAAATATTAAAACACCAAAACAACACCAAAACAACACCAACAGTATCAAAACACAAAAACAACACCAAAAATATTAAAACACCAAAACAACACCAAAAATATTAAAACACCAAAACAACACCAACAGTATCAAAACACCTAAACAACACCAAAAATATCAAAACACCAAAATAACACCAAGAATATTAAAACACCAAAACAACACCAACAGTATCAAAACACCTAAACAACACCAAAAATATCAAAACACCTTAACAACACCAAAAATATCAAAACACCAAAACAACACCAACAGTATCAAAATACCAAAACAACACCAAAACAACACCAGAAGTATCAAAACACAAAAACAACACCAGAAATATCAAAATACCAAAACAACACCAAAATAACAAGATAACGGAGTCAATGCTACTACAATGAACAGAGAATTAGGTATAACCGGTTTTGTTACCCTGTATCAGATATTTCTGACCGACACCTTTCGGATTGTCAAGTTGTACTGTATTAGTGAATTGTAGAGAGACGCCGTATGTGAGTAAGTAACAGCTGTCCTTATGCTGATAACAACCTGGCGAATTTTTCAGCACAGGGACATGCGAACATCGATAGAGAATTCTTCCAAAACGCCTTTGATACGGACAACTCCCGATATACACATTATAATATAGAACACGCACTGGTGATTGATGATGCATGAATATTCCTTGCTTTTCATTTCGTATATTGATAAGAGTATGGTGTTGATTGTATGGTCTAACATCTGTACACTTTACATGTAAGTCAAATTATATGACTGTTAGAACGGCATAGAAGTGACTGCAGACTGTCAGTACTTGTTACATTGACTGGCCTGTTGTTTAGATGTAAATGTCCCCGGACTGTCGTGAGAGAGGAGGGCCAAGATGTGGGGATGGAATCTATGTCCCCGGACTGTCGTGAGAGAGGAGGGCCAAGATGTGGGGATGGAACCTATGTCCCCGGACTGTCGTGAGAGAGGAGGGCCAATATGTATGGATGGAATGTATATCCTCGGACTGTCGTGAGAGAGTTGAATTTTAGCTGTCCATGTTATATCCGGAGAATTTTAGCTGTTCATCTGATATCTGGTAAATTTTAGTTGTCCATTATTATATCCGTTGGGTTTTAAGCTGTCCATCTTATATTCAGTGAATTTTAGCTGTCCATCTTATATCCGGTGAATTTTAGCTATCCATCTTATATCTGGTAAGTTTTAGTTGTCCATCTTATATCCGGTGAATTTTAGCTGTCCATCTTATATCTGGTAAATTTTAGTTGTCCATTATTATATCCGTTGGATTTTAAGCTGTCCATCTTATATTCAGTGAATTTTAGCTGTCCATCTTATATCCGGTGAATTTTAGCTGTCCATCTTATATCTGGTAAATTTTAGTTGTCCATCTTATATCCGGTGAATTTTAGCTGTCCATCTTATATCTGGTAAATTTTAGTTGTCCATCTTATATCCGTTGGATTTTAAGCTGTCCGTCTTATATCCAGTGAGTTTTATCTATCTGACCTATATCCAGTGATTTTTAACTGTCCATCTTATACCCGGTGAATTTTAACTGTCCATCTTATATCCGGTGAATTTTAGCTGTCCGTCTTCTATCCAGTGAATTTTAACTGTCCATCTTATATCCGGTGAATTTTAGCTGTCCGTCTTATATCCGGTGAATTTTAGCTGTCCATCTTATATCCGGTGAATTTTAACTGTCCATCTTATATCCGAAAAATTTTTGCTTTATCCTATCACCTGTTACTTTGGATTGGCGTTACGTATCACACCCATCCTTCCTCTCACAGAAAGGCCTTATCTTGTGACGATGGACAGTCCTTGCAGGGGTCAGTTTAAGCCGTGTTTTTTACAACGTAATGTTCGCTGATAATGATACTTTATTATCAATGGTTTATATGTGATATATACGACAAAATCCAAAACAATTTCAAAATTTGCTCATCGATTGCTGATCAAAAATCAGCAGGGAACATAATTGTTATAAAGCACGAGAGAAAAATCATATCACATACAGACATCTTACATTTACATCAATTAAGAATTGCAATCATGTATTTGTTTACTGGGTGCATCACCCGTGAACAGCAAAGGCCATCGATAGCATAAATGAGGGCAATATGAATAAGGAGAATATTTATATTGAGATTCTCTGTTGAAGCGACACTTCGTTTCAAAGCTTGAGTCTCATTTAGCACGCCCCTGCTCATAGCACCGTAAAGTTACTCACTTCACTGTGACCGCCGACATGTCCAAAGAGGGTAAGCCACAGATGTGTTGTTTTACCTGATAATTCTGAGTTTCTGTAAATGTACCTGGCTCTGATTAATTGACACCAAACTTACATCTTTCTGGTTTTCTTTGTTAGAGCCTTTGTAACCATGTGTGATTAAATAGGATGAACACGTGTTAATATGACTCGACACGGCTTCGTGATGTCGTAAGTTGCGTTATATGTACCTGAGATAAACTGTTACCGGACTTGAATCCTTAGGTAATAGTTAGGGTCAGTGCTGTATTTGGACAGTTTACATGCAGTATCTGTAACAATGACATAGGATATTCGTCTCGCATCAGTGAACAAGTATTTCCGGTATACGTTTAAATATTCACGAGTAACGTTTCGGATGGTTGACAGTAGGATAGTCGATTGCACGTCTGTTCGATAGGTCTTCCCTCGCGTCTGGTGTTGAAGCCAGAGAAACCTTGTATTCGGACCGGAAATCTCAAGGGTTTAGGCCGGAGGAAGACAGGCTGAACAGATATCGGGGTCACCTGCGTTTTGGGTCGGAAAAACATCGAGTTATTTACAGGATTTGTACTATGTTGAAGCCAGATCATTTAGAGCTATTTAACAAGTATTGTGGTTTGAGAAAAAAAAAATGCAACGGGGCCGGAAAAACAGGCTATTTCATATGTATTGGGGGTCAGAGAAAGGTCGGGCCAGAGGAATATCGGGCTATTTCACCTGTAATGAAGCCGATGTAATCACGGGCTATTTCACCTGTAATGAAGTCGATGTAATCACGGGCTATTTCACATTTAATGAAGCCGATGTAATAATGGTTATTTCACCTGTAATGAAGCCGATGTAATAACGGGCTATTTCACTTGTAATGAAGCCGATGTAATCACGGGCTATTTCACCAGAAATGAAGCCGATGTAATCACGGGCTATTTCACCTGTAATGAAGTCGATGTAATCACGGGCTATTTCACATTTAATGAAGCCGATGTAATAATGGTTATTTCACCTGTAATGAAGCCGATGTAATAACGGGCTATTTCACTTGTAATGAAGCCGATGTAATCACGGGCTATTTCACTTGTAATGAAGCCGATGTAATAACGGGCTATTTCACCTGTAATGAAGCCGATGTAATCACGGGCTATTTCACTTGTAATGAAGTCAATGTAATTACGGGCTATTTCACCTGTAATAAAGCCGATGTAATCACGGGCTATTTCACCAGAAATGAAGCCGATGTAATCACGGGCTATTTCACCTGTAATGAAGTCGATGTAATCACGGGCTATTTCACCTGTAATGAAGCCGATGTAATCACGGGCTATTTCACCTGTAATGAAGTCGATGTAATCACGGGCTATTTCACATTTAATGAAGCCGATGTAATAACGGTTATTTCACCTGTAATGAAGCCGATGTAATCACGAGCTATTTCACTTGTAATGAAGCCGATGTAATCACGGACTATTTCACTTGTAATGAAGCCGATGTAATAACGGGCTATTTCACCTGTAATGAAGCCGATGTAATCACGGGCTATTTCACTTGTAATAAAGTCAATGTAATTACGGGCTATTTCACCTGTAATGAAGCCGGTGTAATCACCGGCTATTTCACGTGTAATGAAGCCGGGGAATCATGAGTCAGAGGAATATTGAGGTAGTCCACATATAACGGAACTAGATGTATATAAGGCTATTTCACATGAAAAGGAACCAGAGGAATATCGTGGTTTTTCACGTTAAATATAGCCAGTGGAATATCGTGGTATTTCACGTTAAATATAGCCAGTGGAATATCGTGGTATTTCACGTTAAATATAGCCAGTGGAATATCGTGGTATTTCACGTTTGATGGAGTCAGGGGAATATCGTGGTATTTCACGTTAAATATAGCCAGTGGAATATCGTGGTATTTCACGTTAAATATAGCCAGTGGAATATCGTGGTATTTCACGTTAAATATAGCCAGTGGAATATCGTGGTATTTCACGTTAAATATAGCCAGTGGAATATCGTGGTATTTCACGTTAAATATAGCCAGTGGAATATCGTGGTATTTCACGTTAAATATAGCCAGTGGAATATCGTGGTATTTCACGTTAAATATAGCCAGTGGAATATCGTAGTATTTTACGTTAAATGGAGCCAGTGGAATATCGTGGTATTTTACGCTAAATGGAGCCAGGGGAATATCGTGGTATTTCATGTTAAATGGATTCAGGAGAATATCGTGGTATTTCGCGTTAATTTGAGTCAGGGGAATATCGTGGTATTTCATGTTAAATGGATTCAGGGGAATATCGTGGTATTTCGAGTTAATTTGAGTCAGGGAAATATCGTGGTATTTCGAGTTAATTTGAGTCAGGGAAATATCGTGGTATTTCGCGTTAATTTGAGTCAGGGAAATGTCGTGGTATTTCACGTTAGTGGAGTCAGGGGAATATCGTGGTATTTCACGTTAGTGGTGTCAGGGGAATATCGTGGTATTTCACGTTAGTGGAGTCAGGGGAATATCGTGGTATTTCACGTTAGATGGAACGAACTAATATCGTGGTGTTTCACTACTAACGAAGCCTGAAAACTTGTAATGAAGCCAGGTAATCTCGTGGCCTTTTACGCATGGTATGTTTCTGGTAAGTCTAGATACCATAATATTTACTGCACACATTATGCTATCAGCTGGAAAACACATCGGAATCTGTTTGCTTGATTCAACACGATTACGTTTTTCTCTAGTTTCGTGTATTTCCTTAGCTCTAAAATGTCCAAACAATACATCCATCAAGCGTCCATGCCCATGTGCAGTCAATGCCACAGGAATGTTTTATAATACAAATATGCTGACCATAGTAGGGAAGTCCCTGTTGCCAATGCGAGCACGGAAACGCCTAGATTCATAGATATTCACTGAAATACCCATGGATGTGGTTTGTGCACCAGATTAGTTTTATCGCAGTGAAAGTTTGCTTTACACATATACATTTTAATACGTCTTACTCACATGTGCAAATAAAACGGACTGTCAAACATTCTAGTTGTGTGATGAAATCAAGTGACACCACACATGTTGTTGTAGGGTGAAACCACACCTGTTGTATTGTAGGGTGAAACCACATCTGTTGTGTTGTAGGGTGAAACCACACCTGTTGTTGTAGGGTGAAACCACACCTGTTGTTGTTAGATGAAATCACACCTGTTTTTGTAGGATGAAACCACACCTGTAGTATTGTAGGGTGAAACCACACCTGTTGTATTGTAAGATGAAACCTCACTTGTTGTATTGTAGAGTGAAACCACACCTGTTGTATTGTAGGGTGAAACTACACCTGTTGTATTGTAGGGTGAAACCACACCTGTTGTGTTGTAGGGTGAAACCACACCTGTTGTTGTAGGGTGAAACCACACCTGTTGTATTGTAGGGTGAAACCACATCTGTTGTTGTTAGATGAAATCACACCTGTTTTTGTAGGATGAAACCACACCTGTAGTATTGTAGGGTGAAACCACACCTGTTGTATTGTAGGGTGAAACCACATCTGTTGTTGTTAGATGAAACCACACATGTTGTATTGTAGGGTGAAACCACACCTGTTGTATTGTAGGGTGAAACCACACCTGTTGTGTTGTAGGGTGAAACCACACATGTTGTATTGTAGGGTGAAACCACACCTGTTGTATTGTAGGGTGAAACCACACCTGTTGTTGTTAGATGAAATCACACCTGTTGTGTTATAGAGTGAAATCACATATGTTGTTGTAGTAATATGTGAGGCTACACATTTCCGGAAAAGATTATTTAAATTACATCTTGTATCTACATGCGAAAGGTTTAAATCAAATATTGATTTTTAAAACTATTTTCTGAATAAAATTGTGGGTATATATAGAGAGACAGATATTTGTGACTAAGACAAAAATAAATTCCATTCAGGACTGGTTCAACGCCTCTCTAACGGAGGAAGTATCGTTATAGCCGAGGGCTACGTCCGAGAGTTCGAGAGGCGCGGTTATCTAAACGCTGGAGCATTCGTACCGGAAGTGGTCCTTGATTCACCACACCTCGTAAAGGTCATGCATGAGGAGTTTGTCCATGCAGGAAGTGACGTCGTAGAAGCTTTCACGGTATATTCGTCTTCTAGTTTTTCTTGTCATGACTATCTGTGTCTGATTCGTCAATAAGGATTGGTTACATACTATTTCATCATAAATCTGTTACATTTGTTATTAATGTATCATATATTCAACGGATTTTACGTCCACTATTACAACCTTTTGACCTTTCAGCGGACGAGAAATATATGAAAGTGAGTAGAGGGTGAATAAGATAGAGAAATGTGGCAGGGGCCGTCTATAACACCAAACTGGTTCTTAAACTCAGATTTTGTAGACGATCCCTTAGTCTAATTATAGATCTAACCTAACACTAAGTAGACGTACTGCAACAAGAGGAACGGTAATGGACAGAGATGGGGAGGGAGGGGATCCTTAACAATATGAATTTTGATGTGTTATGGTATCCTTAGTACATTAACACACACCAACGTTACAAATATTTGTTATCATACAATATGGAGTTGTGTTAGACTGAATGTACCCATTGTGACGTCATAACTGCATGGCGTCATATACATTGTTTCGTCACCAAATCAGTCTAATAAAAAAAGTATGTTTTTACAAAATTATTTTAGTTGTGTGATAATCAGAATCATTCGTTTCCATGTTGTGAGAGATTAACAAATTTTCCACTTTAACTGGCCAGAGACTTGGTGAAATGAAACATTCGCAGACTTGTTTGATAAATCTTTCGTGTGAATGAGAAAAAGTGATGTTATATCTTCTATGTAAATATTGCAACATAAATTCATTCTTTGTATACAATTATATAAACATTACTAGATATAAACATTTAAACACATATACCAACAACTATATGTACATAATTAGAAAACCGCCAACTACAGTATAATATAACGGAAACACTGGTGATATGACAGCTGTACACAAACTCCCACAAATGCCAAAACACCAGGGACGTGTACAATAAATCTAACTTCAGAAACATACATAGTTATGTAAGCATCAACCATAACATGTACTTATGTTTCCAGTACTACGCACACAGAGAGAAACTAAGACTTGTCGGCAGAGAAGATGATTTAGAAAAGCTCAATAAGACAGCTTTAAAAATTGCACGTGAGGTTGCTGACAATACTGGAACGCTAATGGCGGGAAATATTTCCAACACTGGTCTGTATATTGCAGGCGATCAAAAGTCAGAAGAAACGATAATGGGTATGTTTAAGGTAAGAAATGCATATATGTAGATTTAAAACTTTTTATCGAATTTTTGAATCTGGCTATAAGTACAATTAAGTACGAAATACTACGATGGCTAACAATTGTATTCAATGATGTCACGGTTCCATTTATTGCAGGAACAGATAGAATGGGCCGTGGAAGGTGGGGCAGATTACATTATAGCAGAGACGTTTAATGACTTCGGAGAAGCTATGTTAGCTTTACGGGCCATTCAAACGTTCGCGCAAGGTTTGTATATATATATATATATATATATATATATATATTTATCATTTGAGGAGAAAAATAAGATGATCGAATCTATAGAAGGCTTAGTAATGAAATTCTGCAGATGAATCACAGTCAGTAAAAACCATGTCTGTTTTCACGTTCCCAGGATTACCAGCCGTCATCACCATGGCAGCATACGTCCCTGATTTGACGACTGATGACGTCACTTTCCCCGTAGCATGTAGGCGTTTAGAAGAGGCGGGAGCTGCTGTTGTAGGATTAAACTGTGCACGTGGTCCTTCTACTATGTTACCCCTGATTCGACAGATACGCGCTGTGTGTAAGGTATTCTCTTTTTATGTCTCCTATGTTTTGTTAATTAGACAATCGTAACATCATGGCGAAGTTTCCGGCGGTCTTCGAAGATAATTTCCGAAGATTGTCACAAATTTCCATGAGATGTAGCAATTTGGAGCAAGATGAGACATATCCTTTAGCATTATCAGAAACAGATTTTAATTGTCATCACTAGATCTCTGATTTTTCTCACACAGGGCCCGATTGCCGCGATCCCTGTTCCTTTCCGTACTGACAAGGACCATGTCACATTCCAGTCTTTAAAGGATTATAAAACAGGTTAGCTGATGTATTTATAGAATATTTTGTCTTTGTATGTATGGTTATGTTTGAAGTTGTATGTTTGTATGGTCATGTTTGAAGTTGTATGTTTGTATGGTATGTTTGAAGTTGTATGTATGTATGGTGATGTTTGAAGTTGTATGTATGTATGGTCATGTTTGGAGTTGTATGTATGTATAGTCATGTTTGAAGTTGTATGTATGTATGGTGATGTTTGAAATTGTATGTATGTATGGTGATGTTTGAAGTTGTATGTATGTATTGTATGTTTGAAGTTGTATGTATGTATGGTCATGTTTGAAGTTGTATGTATGTATTGTATGTTTGAAGTTGTATGTATGTATGGTCATGTTTGAAGTTGTATGTATGTATGGTCATGTTTGAAGTTGTATGTATGTATGGTCATGTTTGAAGTATGGGATGTTTGGAGTTGTATGTTTGTATGGTCATGTTTGAAGTTGTATGTATGGTCTTGTTTGAAGTTGTATGTTTTTAAAGACATCTGTATGGTCTGCTTGTTTAGAGTTGTACATTTATTTGTAAGATCGTTGATGTGATAATCGGTATCATCGGATGTGATTGGCTGTTAATATTGTCATGTGACCATGCATGTCAGTTTGGTGGTAGGGACCACAATAATGTTGTCATGTCCATGTACTTGACCTAGACAACACGCTTTTCCCTATGGCTCCGGATAATATATGACGAATCTCCAGCATGATACTCAGTGAGATAGTCACCAGCCACTTAATCTAGGAACGGTTGACATTTTTAAGGGAGGCTGTGTCCATATATAGCATTATAGTTTCATCAGTCGTTAGAAACATGTCATTTATAATTATGTATTGATGAGGTGATTTGGACGTTTATCTTGACTGGATCATCAGTCTGTACATTATCACAAGATATCAGATTATCGAATAGACACAAGCAGTAAGTCAATAACAGCATGCCTAACAGTCCATATCATTGTTTGGGTTTTTATAGGTGAAAAGCTCTATCCTTTAGATGTCTGCGCATGTATGTCCAAGAGAACTGAAATCCGTGCGTTTGCGCGTGAGGCCAGAGAGATTGGTGTGAACTACATCGGCCTGTGTTGTGGGAATGCGCCATTTTATATGCGTGAGGTGGCGGAGGAATATGGCCGAACTCCGGGTGCCAGCAAGTATAATCCAGACATGTCTGCAAGTCATATCTATAACAAGAAGACGGCAACAGCGAGGTCATTGAAACTTCGTGCCTACACCGGCATAGATGACTGATTAATTTATGTCAAACTGATTGAGGAGACCAGTCAAGGATGACCAATGACCTTCATATAACAAGGATGACCAATGACATTCACTCACCAAGGATGACCAATGACATTCACACACCAAGGATGACCAATGACATTCACTCACCAAGATTGACCAATGACATTCACACACCAAGGATGACCAATGACATTCACACACCAAGGATGACCAATGACATTCACTCACCAAGATTGACCAATGACATTCACACACCAAGGATGACCAATGACATTCACACACCAAGGATAACCAATGACATTCACTTACCAAGGATGACCAATAACATTCACATACCAAGGATGACCAATGACATTCACACACCAAGGATGACCAATGACATTCACACACCAAGGATGACCAATGACATTCACTCACCAAGGATGACCAATGACATTCATACACCAAGGATGACCAATGACATTCACTCACTAAGGATGACCAATGACATTCACTTAGCAAGAATGACCAATGACATTAACTTACCAAGGATGACCAATGACATTCACTCACCAAGGATGACCAATGACATTCACTCACTAAGGATGAAAAATGACATTCACTTAGCAAGAATGACCAATGACATTAACTTACCAAGGATGACCAATGACATCCACACACCAAGGATGACCAATGACATTCACTAACTAAGGATGACTAATGACATTCATCAAGTATGACCAATGACATTCACTCACCAAGGATGACCAATGACATCACTCACCAAGGATGACCAATGACATTCACTCACCAAGGATGACCAATGACATTCACACACCAAGGATGACCAATAACATTCACTCACCAAGGATGACCAATGACATTCACATACCAAGGATGACCAATGACATTAACTTACCAAGGATGACCAATGACATTCACTCACCAAGGATGACCAATGACATTCATACACCAAAGGTTGACCAATGACATTCACTCACTAAGGATGAAAAATGACATTCACTTAGCAAGAATGACCAATGACATTAACTTACCAAGGATGACCAATGACATCCACACACCAAGGATGACCAATGACATTCACTAACTAAGGATGACTAATGACATTCATCAAGTATGACCAATGACATTCACTCACCAAGGATGACCAATGACATTCACACATCAAGGATGACCAATGACATCACTCACCAAAGGATGACCAATGACATTCACTCACCAAGGATGACCAATGACATTCACACACCAAGGATGACCAATGACATTCACACACCAAGGATGACCAATGACATTCACTCACCAAGATTGACCAATGACATTCACACACCAAGGATGACCAATGACATTCACACACCAAGGATAACCAATGACATTCACTTACCAAGGATGACCAATAAAATTCACATACCAAGGATGACCAATGACATTCACTCACCAAGGATGACCAATGACATTCACTCACCAAGGATGACCAATGACATTCACTCACCAAGGATGACCAATGACATTCACACACCAAGGATGACCAATAACATTCACTCACCAAGAATGACCAATAACATTCACTCACCAAGGATGACCAATGACATTCACATACCAAGGATGACCAATGACATTCACACACCAAGATTGACCAATGACATTCACACACCAAGGATGACCAATGACATTCACTCACCAAGGATGACCAATGACATTCACATACCAAGGATGACCAATGACATTCACACACCAAGGATGACTAATGACATTCACACTCCAAGGATGACCAATGACTTTCACTCACCAAGGATGACCAATGACATTCATACACCAAGGATGACCAATGACATTCACTCACTAAGGATGACCAATGACATTCACTTAGCAAGAATGACCAATGACATTAACTTACCAATGATGACCAATGACATCCACACACCAAGGATGACCAATGACATTCACTAACTAAGGATGACTAATGACATTCACCAAGTATGACCAATGACATTCACTCACCAAGGATGACCAATGACATTCACACATCAAGGATGACCAATGACATCACTCACCAAGGATGACCAATGACATTCACTCACCAAGATTGATGAATGACATTCACTAACTAAGGATGACCAATGACATTCACTCACCAAGAGTGACCAATGACATTCACTCACAATGGATGACCAATGACATTCACTCACCATGGATGACCAATGTCATTCACTCACCAAGGATGACCAATGACATTTACACACCAAGGATGACCAATGACATTCACACACCAAGAATGACCAATGACATTCACTAACTAAGGATGACCAATGACATTCACACACCAAGGATGACCAATGACATTCACTCAACAAGGAAGACCAATGACATTAACTTACCAAAGATGACCAATGACATTCACTCACCAAGGATGACCAATGACATTCATACACCAAGAATGACCAATGACATTCACTCACCAAGGATGACCAATGCCATTCATACACCAAGGATGACCAATGACATTCATACACCAAGGATGACCAATGACATACACTCACTAAGGATGACCAATGACATTCACTCACCAAGGATGACCAATGACATTCACACACCAAGGATGACCAATGACATTCACTCACCAAGGATGACCAATGACATTCACACACCAAAGATGACCAATGACATTCACTCACTAAGGAAGACCAATGACATTCACTTATCAAGAATGACCAATGACATTCACTCACTAAGGATGACTAATGACATTCACTAACTTAGGATGACCAATGACATTCACACACCAAGATTGACCAATGACATTCACACACCAAGGATGACCAATGACATTCACTAACTAAGGATGACCAATGACATTCACTCACCAAGGATGACCAATGACATTCACACACCAAGGATGACCAATGACATTCACTCACTAAGGATGACCAATGACATTCACTCGCCAAGGATGACCAATGACATTCACTCGCCAAGGATGACCAATGACATTCACTCGCCAAGTGATCAGTGATTTTCATAGATCAAGGACAAACTACAACCTTCACAAAAGATGACCAATTATCTTCGCTAAGTGACCTTTTAAAGATGACATTTGACTTCTAACCTTCAAGAGATGACCTATGACCATTACATTCTAAAGATGGCAAATGACCTTCACATACCATTGGTAACCAATGACCTTCACGACCCAACGAGGACTAATGACTTTCACCTACCAATAAAGATGAATGATTTTTAAATACTAAGATTGACTCATGACCCCTACATGATAAACATATTTGATGTGTAACTTATGATTGTCACATTATTACATTGAGATAACATGGCTGACAGACATCTGAATTTGAAATTTTGATATTAATTGTGAAGTGAACCAATGGACATAGATACAGGGGATTGTATATGGCATCAGAACTTTGGATCTGTTTTGGAGACTGTGTTATTTGCCATAAAATATAAAAAATCTTTGTTGCTGACAAGATTTGTTCATTAATGAGAACTCTGAATTTGATATATCATTTGTTTACTTAATTAACATTGGAGAGATTAAGATAAATAAAACACTATCCTACGGTGTAATAAATACAGTACATTAAATACCATTGATTTATGGATGTTGTGAGATCTTGAATGATGGACAACAGGGTCATACAGTTTTGTTTGATTTTGTGTCGGCTGCTTTTCAGAAAGACACTCTATAGAAATCAGTCTGCAGACATATAGATAGACTACATAACAAATAATGTCTGGGTTTATTATTTTTATTTATTTTGATGATTTACTGACTGTTGTAAATATTTTATTTTTACAAAGTATTGGTATATATTAAGACTATATATTGTATGGTATTTGTGTCCCTGTAAACTTATTGCAGGTCGTCATTTAACTGGCTTAATCAGACTAAATGGATTAAATACTATGAGCTTTGTTTGTTTTTTGTGGTAAAGAAGAAAAAAAGATAGGAAAAAAACAAAAAAAGAATTTGTCAAACCTACAACAATTTCACTGGGAATATGATTTCAGTACCAAGAGACAAGTCTTCAAAATCAGATAAACAAATTGTTGACAAAGATCTAACCAGGTAACTGAAGGGTGTACTACATGAATAAGATTTGTCACAAGTTCATGAAATATTAGGCATTCAGATCTCATTTTCTGCCTTTACAACCTGGAACACGATCACCTGTTAGGGAACTCCTTAATTCCTCAGTGGGAAGAGCTGTCTACGCAACCTCTGGAGAAGCTCAGTGGTACATAGTTTATCTTTATCAGCAGAAATGGGTGGGCTTCTGCTGTCATGGATGTGTCCTTGAGCAAGACACTTTGCCTGAAATTATTCAGGATAACATGTGATGGGCCTCTTGTATATTGTTCAGTGAGAGGTTAACCACTAGCTACTGCAAGGTTGTAGACAACTTCTGAAAGTCGTCCGAGCTGTTCACCAGGCGAATAACCTAGGCTTAGTTTATTGTAATATTCACTCTAGAAAAGCATCATACATAATGTAGTATTTCATGGCATTAAATGATTCTGTAAGTGTAATATGTGGTGTTAACAAGTCCTTAAATTGGCTGAAAGGAAAGAGTATCACTTAAAGAAATCATTCTCCATTGAAAAAATATGTTATTGTAAGATAAAATCTACAAAGTATGCATTGATCTGCTGGAATGATTACACCAGTACTAATCTGTGCTTTATCTAGTTATCTATGCATAAAGCTCATTTTCTGAAAGAAAATGATAGAGGGAGACAACCTCCTTTAAAACACAGGTGGGACACAGACCTGGACAGCTCTCACATATTTCAACTTTTCACATCACTTGTTAAATTATTGTTAAAGAGATTTCATTGTGAATTTCTTCAAAACATTCATATTCGAATACCTGTAGAACACTATCAACACCCTCTATATAGTCAGACATATGTAGAACACCATCAACACCCTCTATATAGTCAGACATGTGTAGAACACCATCAAATCCCTCTATATAGTCAGAAATATGTAGAACACTATCAACACCCTCTATATATTCAAACATGTGTAGAACACCATCATTACCATCTATATAGTCAGACATGTGTAGAACACCATCAACACCCTCTATGTAGTCAGACATGTGTAGAACACCATCAACACCCTCTATATAGTCAGACATGTGTAGAACACCATCAACACCCTCTATATAGTCAGACATGTGTAGAACACCATCACCACCCTCTATATAGTCAACAATGTGTAGACCATTATCAACACCTCTATATAGTCAGACATGTGTAGAACACCATCAACATCCTCTATATAGTCAGACATGTGTAGAACACCATCAACACCCTCTATATAGTCAGACATGTGTAGAACATTATCAACACCCTCTATATAGTCAGACATGTGTAGAACACCATCAACACCCTCTATATAGTCAGACATGTGTAGAACACCATCAACACCCTCTATATAGTCAGACATATGTAGAACACCATCAACACCCTCTATATAGTCAGACATGTGTAGAACACCATCAAATCCCTCTATATAGTCAGAAATATGTAGAACACTATCAACACCCTCTATATATTTTGATGTATACATACAAGGCAATAAATGGAACAGCTCCTGAATATTTGCAGGAACTTGTCACCGTTTATCGGCCGTCACGATCACTACGATCGGAGACAGAATCCTTGTTGTGCGTTCCGAACTCTCGGACTGTGACTTATGGTAACCGATGCTTTGGAAAGGTAGCGGCCACTTTGTGGAACAGCTTACCATCTGCTACTAGAAAGTCAAAATCCCTGGCCAAATTCAAGAGGGATATTAAAACCCACCTGTTTACGTCTGCATTTTAGACTCTCACGCAGACGTCCTGTATATACATACTTTCACCACTACTTACTTGATTTGGTTACTGTGTTACATATGTTGATTACTGTGTTAAACATGTTCTGTAAATTTTGTAGTAAGATTATTATGTAATTGTGAAGCGCATTAGAGTATTTTGTCAAAATAGATAGTGCGCTATATAAATGTTGTATATTATTATTATTATTATTATTATTATATATTCAAACATGTGTAGAACACCATCATTACCATCTATATAGTCAGACATGTGTAGAACACCATCAACACCCTCTATATAGTCAGACATGTGTAGAACACCATCACCACCCTCTATATAGTCAACAATGTATAGAACATTATCAACACCTCTATATAGTCAGACATGTGTAGAACACCATCAACATCCTCTATATAGTCAGACATATGTAGAACACCATCAAAGCCCTCTATATAGTCAGACATGTGTAGAACACCATCAACACCTTTTATATAGTCAGACATGTGTAGAACATTATCAACACCCTCTATATAGTCAGACATGTGTAGAACACCATCAACACCCTCTATATAGTCAGACGTGTAGAACACCATCACCACCCTCTATATAGTCAACAATGTGTAGAACATTATCAACACCCTCTATATAGTCAGACATGTGTAGAACACCATCAACATCCTCTATATAGTCAGACATGTGTAGAACACCATCAACACCCTCTATATAGTCAGACATGTGTAGAACACCATCAACACCTATATAGTCAGACATGTGTAGAACATTATCAACACCCTCTATATAGTAAGACATGTGTAGAACACCATCAACACCCTCTATATAGTCAGACATGTGTAGAACACCATCAACACCCTCTATATAGTCAGACATATGTAGAACACCATCAACACCCTCTATATAGTCAGACATGTGTAGAACACCATCAAATCCCTCTATATAGTCAGAAATATGTAGAACACTATCAACACCCTCTATATATTCAAACATGTGTAGAACACCATCATTACCATCTATATAGTCAGACATGTGTAGAACACCATCAACACCCTCTATGTAGTCAGACATGTGTAGAACACCATCAACACCCTCTATATAGTCAGACATGTGTAGAACACCATCAACACCCTCTATATAGTCAGACATGTGTAGAACACCATCACCACCCTCTATATAGTCAACAATGTGTAGACCATTATCAACACCTCTATATAGTCAGACATGTGTAGAACACCATCAACATCCTCTATATAGTCAGACATGTGTAGAACACCATCAACACCATCAACACCCTCTATATAGTCAGACATGTGTAGAACATTATCAACACCCTCTATATAGTAAGACATGTGTAGAACACCATCAACACCCTCTATATAGTCAGACATATGTAGAACACCATCAACACCCTCTATATAGTCAGACATATGTAGAACACCATCAACACCCTCTATATAGTCAGACATGTGTAGAACACCATCAAATCCCTCTATATAGTCAGAAATATGTAGAACACTATCAACACCCTCTATATATTTTGATGTATACATACAAGGCAATAAATGGAACAGCTCCTGAATATTTGCAGGAACTTGTCACCGTTTATCGGCCGTCACGATCACTACGATCGGAGACAGAATCCTTGTTGTGCGTTCCGAACTCTCGGACTGTGACTTATGGTAACCGATGCTTTGGAAAGGTAGCGGCCACTTTGTGGAACAGCTTACCATCTGCTACTAGAAAGTCAAAATCCCTGGCCAAATTCAAGAGGGATATTAAAACCCACCTGTTTACGTCTGCATTTTAGACTCTCACGCAGACGTCCTGTATATACATACTTTCACCACTACTTACTTGATTTGGTTACTGTGTTACATATGTTGATTACTGTGTTAAACATGTTCTGTAAATTTTGTAGTAAGATTATTATGTAATTGTGAAGCGCATTAGAGTATTTTGTCAAAATAGATAGTGCGCTATATAAATGTTGTATATTATTATTATTATTATTATTATTATATATTCAAACATGTGTAGAACACCATCATTACCATCTATATAGTCAGACATGTGTAGAACACCATCAACACCCTCTATATAGTCAGACATGTGTAGAACACCATCACCACCCTCTATATAGTCAACAATGTATAGAACATTATCAACACCTCTATATAGTCAGACATGTGTAGAACACCATCAACATCCTCTATATAGTCAGACATATGTAGAACACCATCAAAGCCCTCTATATAGTCAGACATGTGTAGAACACCATCAACACCTTTATATATAGTCAGACATGTGTAGAACATTATCAACACCCTCTATATAGTCAGACATGTGTAGAACACCATCAACACCCTCTATATAGTCAGACGTGTAGAACACCATCACCACCCTCTATATAGTCAACAATGTGTAGAACATTATCAACACCCTCTATATAGTCAGACATGTGTAGAACACCATCAACATCCTCTATATAGTCAGACATGTGTAGAACACCATCAACACCCTCTATATAGTCAGACATGTGTAGAACACCATCAACACCTATATAGTCAGACATGTGTAGAACATTATCAACACCCTCTATATAGTAAGACATGTGTAGAACACCATCAACACCCTCTATATAGTCAGACATGTGTAGAACACCATCAACACCCTCTATATAGTCAGACATGTGTAGAACACCATCAACACCTTCTATATAGTCAGACATGTGTAGAACATTATCAACACCCTCTATATAGTAAGACATGTGTAGAACACCATCAACATCCTCTATATAGTCAGACATGTGTAGAACACCATCAACACCCTCTATATAGTCAGACATATGTAGAACACCATCAAAGCCCTCTATATAGTCAGACATGTGTAGAACACCATCAACATGCTTTATGTATTCAAAGGTGTTGGATAATTTCCCAGAGATGAGTTTTATTTTTTAGGAAGCTGACATCACTTATTGATCTGTACTGTATGATTGTGCTCTTTTGTGCCTTCATCGTGGTGTTTGGTGAGGTAAGTCATTTTCAACTTTGAGGATACCCAATCTCAAAATGATACTGTTCATTGGGCGATAAACAAAATCAGAGTGAAACTACTATTAAGTATAACACTATATATATAAAATATTGATGACATGTTGATTGGTGTGTTTTGGTCTATCATACACCACTTCTCATTTTCACAGGCACGATATCTACTTTCACTTGTTGGTTTATCCAGTTTGGTCAATTTATTCGCTTTTTCTTGACTGCTTCAATGTTGAGAGGTAGTAATAGTAAATGTAGATTGATACATAAATGAACGAACAAATAAACAAATAAATATGCTTTTTATTTTTGTTGATGTGATATTATTTCACATCAAAGTTTCCATTTATCAAAACCATTCACCAGAATTCAATATTTCTATTGTATGCACTGAAGAATTCTTTTAATATTCGTGTTATTTCATTTCATTTCCGAATTTATTTATAAAAATTAAACAGTACCACTATATATCTATATTCAGATATAAAGGTTGAATTCAGTGTCTAGTGAACTATATAAAAATAACTTAAAATAATGTCACATAATCACTCTTGTTATGACATCATACACAACCTATCTAGACAACTGATTAAGCACCATGAAGATTAGAAATGAAAGTGCTAATGCTTAATTCAACGCGTTATCTGAAGTTATTTTAAAAGTATATATGATATATAGTTTGATCAGTCTCGAATAAGCACTATTGGTTGAAAAAAGACCATGTGCTCAAGGAATTGATTTTTGATGCATTTAAACGCTGTGTATGATATGAAAAACACATTATTTAGGGATGGGATATGGAGATGAAAAAGAAAAAAAATTTGATATGAATTCAAGGGTAAACGTCGAACCCCTTCACATTTGTACGAAACTAAAGCAAGGCGATTTCGCCAGCTTTACATTGTGAGCCTCCATTTTGGATTTTGAAACATCTCGCACTTTCGATACAAGATCTGAGGAAAAATTGTAAAACTGTTCAAATACTAACCAAATGGCAGCACTTCCAAGACGTATTATAAAGGTGAATATTCCATGCTGAATTTGTAGATATTTGTTCCATTGTTGATATAAATTTACCGTCTGTGAATTCCTCTTTTGACAGTATTATGTCTATCTTCCGTTGTCAATTGTGACTTTTTCGTGGGAAAATAAGGTACATAAACAGTTAAATGCGTACGTGGTACTGAAAATATTTATATATAATACATGCTTCCAACTGTCTTATTTATACATCAGTGAAATATTTCATTAAAAACCGTTCTTTTGATAGTTGTATTTACCATTTTTTTTACAAAGTCGCAAATATTTAATCACATGGGCTTGTCTAAATGAGATAAAATTAATCTATTGAATATATATAATCAGGGGTCAGAAATTCTGGATAGCCTATATGAGTATTCAGGAAGTCCATTTCCCCAATTATAGTCAATAGATATCAACTCATCAAGACAAAACCTTTACAAAACAGACTTGACTGTATTGTGAATTACTCATGATATTGGATTTAGGGATCATCTATTTCGAAGGGTTCAGATTATAATATCTGTCTGTGATTTTATCTTTGTCTTAGTCACAGATGATCATAATAATTCCTTCCTATATAAAAACTCCAAATCTGATAGTGATCCCTGTAAGGGGCGGCATTCAGGCAATATTTCCAATAGTTCACATCAGCACAATAGTTATAAATAAATCATTTATCATCCGTGGAATATCTCTAGACTGGCCGTAAAACTATAATTGCGGCCAATGTTGTGAGAATTAATGAACTGTTAAGTGGTAGGTTTACACTAAAACTGATGAGTCTGGAAAAAATCTACATAGTGGCGACAATTATAAAATCTTCTGGAAAGTAAGTATCGAAAGTTGTTGGGGAAAATGAGTGGAAATACTTGGCTTAGAACATTTTATTGCTTTGATACATATGCAAGTTAGTAGAAAAATGTTTAACCTTTCTATCAATGTATGATTTATAACTGCCTTGCTGTTGTAAACTATAGAAAACGTTGCGTGAATGCTGACCCTTGTGGGGGCTGCTAGAATTTGGCATTTTTTTATAAGGAGGAATTCAGGGCAATAAAATTGGCAGACAGATATGACCCTTCAGACAATGGATCCTCAGTCTCCAGATTTTTCTAATCCATCCCACTTTTTAAGGCAGGCTTTATAATATGAGAGATATAGTTCTGCAGAAAATGGTCTAGCTATGTCTGATTTACCAAAGAGTCATGTATTTGTACATTTTGAGGTAACACAAGCTATGACCGATGACCGAAAAATCTGCAAACCAAAGATGTTGGCATTATCAGGGTTTTCCATAAGAGCCGGTCGCCTGCCAATTTGACCGGCTACTTTGGTCATTTGGCCGCCTACACCAATCCAGTTCCGTAATAATGTTCCGTACACGACTACATGTACACGGCAGGTCCGCCTCCTACTTTCACTACACAGCCTACTACTAAAAAAATTATGGAAAACCCTATTATGCCAGATGTATCGGTCTTGAACAAAAACAAATGCGGAGGTGTTAAGTGGGGATCAGTTATATGAAAACTCTTAATGCAATATAAAAGCATTTTTTGTTTGTCCCCTTTCTCTTTTACACAAAAAAACCACCCTCACACCCTCCCTGTCATATGTGAACACATATCCTCCCTTTCATATATTATACAGATATCAACAAGGTTGCAACCAAAAACGTTTAAATTTAACACACTGAGAAAGGTAGGAAGTAATGAATTGCCCAAGCAATATCTGAATTCCATTGTAAAGTGATATTTTTAAAATGATAAAATTGTTAACTAATGTCATATTTTGTTATTATGCCACTTTTTCAAATTTTTGGAGACAAAGGGAATGTAATATTATTTAGTTGTTCAATCAACATATCATCCTGTACATTTTCACTCTATTCCTTCAAATAACTTGTTAGATGTATTTCTTGCTTTCTCTATACCCATGGAACATTAAAGAGATAATCTATCTTTTGTACCTTTAATATTGAAACAATACCTTTACTTTAATGCTCATTTATTCTCTTTATCTCATCAGACTTACAATTATTGTGTTGCCTGCAGAGCTGGCACTTAGGGATCACACTGCCCATCTTCATGCACCGGCAGCAGTGACATCCGTACAAAAATTTTCCGGACATTTTCGGTTATGCTTTGAATTATTAAAATAAAGTTTAGTATATGGCATTTTGTTGGAAGGATACAGATTAAGTTTGATTTCCGGCTGTCTGTGACCGTTCTTGGCAGAGTAATGCCTCTTTGAACTTAGAAAATTCTCTGGGAATATTGTTTTGGGTTATACTTTGAGTTATAGAAATGAAATTTGGTAAATGGCTTCTTGTTGGAAGGGTACAGATTAATTTTATTCCTGGCTGTCTGTAACCCTTCTTGGCAGAGTTATGCCCCTTTAATCTTAGAAAATTCTTTGGTAATATTGTTTTCTGGACTTTCTTTGGTTATGCTTTGAGTTATAGAAATGAAATTGGTATATGGCTTCTTGTTTAAAGGGTACAGATTAGTTCTGACATCCAGTTGGATTTCTGGGTGACCGTGACACTTCATGCAGATGACACCTACAGTTCCAAGGAACTCTTGTATTCTTATAAATTACAGTTTTAACTATACTTAAAAAGTGGGTTGGGATAGGATGTGGACGTTTCACCAAAAGCAAATTGGACAAAGTGCGAAATCTTAGGACAACCTTAGGCTTGGAATGTATTGCTGTCTGCATATATTTTATGCAAAACGTTTCTCCATTGTGAAATTTTGCTTTGTCAGCAAACTGGTGTACAGTTATTATAATGAATATGATAATACACTCAAGGTATCTTTTTGCTTCTTAAGTTATCAAAATCACTGTTATCAGATTCATGCTTCGTTTTCATGATTGTGTAATTTAGGATCTATCTGGCAATCACTTGCATTGTGTGATACATTTACACAAATGGTTTATTGTGACTAAATGCTTAAGTGTGAAATAGCTGTTCTTAGGCAGATACGCTGCCAAATACAACGAGGCCAAGCAGTTGGGTTAGTCTCACCATTTTATTGTTATCACTGTTCGTTTGGTTACATATCCAAGTATTGTGAAAAAGTGTAGAAGTTGGCAAAGATTTACATATCAAAATACATATAAATATTGTTTGAACAACATAAGCTAGTTCTTAGAAAAACATACACCTTTAGAATAAAGTCTTATTTAACTGTCTTTGTGAACAGGTTCTTAGTTAAACATAAACCTTTAAACTAAAGTCGTATTTAACTGTCTTTGTGAACAAGTCTGACTGCTTTCATATTTTGGTATATGAATTGGCATGGAGCTCTGAACACTCCACTATTGACCATATGTGTGGTGTAGGTTAATGTTCATAATTGCGTTGTTTGTTTGTTTCAGGAAACTTTGAGGTTAAAGTACATATGTGTGTTCATCATTGCATTGTTTGTTTGTTTTAGGAAACCCAGCGGTTAATGGTGGAACCAGTACCTGGGATTGTTGCTTGTGCTGATGAGGCGAATGCACGACATTTCCATGTAACTGTCAAAGGTCCAAAAGAGGTATGGTTACTCAAGCATACAACAGTTCAGAGTTCATAAAGGTTACTTCAGCTAGTCTCTGATGTCTTTTTGTTTTCAATTTGATATATATATGTGAAAAGATCATTTTAAGACTCCACAGAATTACAATATCTACCATTCATTGTACCATTGGAGTCTGGGATTTTGTTGTTAGGCCCGAAAATGTTAGTAATGATATTAACAGCATTTGCCATGTAAATATTTTTTATACTGACATATATTCAGAATGCTACTTAATTAGTCTTCTATATTATTATATTTAGTTATATATGGGTAATTGTGAATACTACTAAGTGTGTAGTAATTATATGTTATTGGTAAGTAAGGTCTAAAGGTATCTTGTTTAAAATTTCTAATTTTGTTTTATGAAGTATATTTTACTTTTAAAGGAATGAATATGTAAACTTCTGTTGTTGCTTTCCTTTGCAGTCACCATATGAAAACGGAGTGTTTAATTTGGAGCTGTTTTTACCTGAAGAATATCCTATGTCAGCCCCTAAAGTTCGATTTGTGACAAAAATTTATCACCCAAATATAGATAAACTGGGACGAATATGCCTTGATATCCTAAAAGGTATGTGAAAAAACTAAAACCATGGTCTGAAAATGGATCATGGTAAATACTTATATTTAAACGTTTAGAATATATGATTAAGTGTGAAGTCTTGTTGACTGATTTTGGATATACAGTGGCACTTCAACAAACGAACCATGGAAGGGACATGAATATTTTGCCAGTTTAGAGAGGGTTCAGTTTGTAGAAGTGAAGCAAGTTGACTAGTCCAGACTTAGATAGATTTGAAACCATTCTGTTCTGTACATTTCATTAACATTATGTTTGCTTTCAGCATTTACACTGCACATGTCGAACTGAATACAGAAAAAAAAACTTGATAGAATAAAAAAATCTCAGTAAAGTGAAAAGTGATACTAGTATACTAAATGGGACGTCAACTTCAGTCCAAAATAAATCTGTGCGTTGTCCGGACAATCTAGGAAGTAGTGTAGCATGACATATGGCCCAATGTAACCATGGTCGGATGGTCAGCAACAGTACTGAAATGATAATATTCAATTACCCACGATTTGGATGCAATACTGCCTCTTTCTAACTCTGCATCACTACTTATTTTCACTTTAACTGTTGCTGTTTCTTGCTTTGGTGAAACGATGGACTCGTGCGAAAACAACCTTTTCAGACAGTTGGTTAAGGAAGCCATCTAGATATGCCACAACGGATCATTACTTAATAGGGACAAGGGGGGGGGGGGCACAGTCTCTCGCACATCTATGACCAAGTGTTAAACAAAGCGTAGCCGATTTGACTACAATAAATTCTTAACATGTGGTGTATTATTTGGTCTATGATCTGTTTGCCATCTCATCACACTATTTTCGACCTTAGTGTACATAGGATTATAGTGCAGCCTTAAATGTTGGTCAATTCCACACCATCTCACATATTATGTAAGTCAGTGCTCTTACGCTCCACATTCGTCGTTTATCTGATGGTGGTGACAATGTAGTCATTGAAACATTACACCCTATTCCTCTACTGGTTGTGTAACTTCCGTTCTATACCTAGGTAGGACCAGGATATGAGATCAGTCCAGTGTAATTATACCTGGGTAGGACCATTCCAGTGTAATTATATTTAGGTAGGACCTGGATATGAGATCAGTCCAGTGTAATTATACCTGGGTAGGACCAGTCCAGTGTAATTATACCTAGGTAGGACCAGGGTATGAGATCAGTCCAGTGTAATTATACCTAGGTAGGACCAGTCCAGTGTTATTATACCTAGGTAGGACCAGTCCTGTGTAATTATACCTGGGTAGGACCAGTCCAGTGTAATTATATTCAGGTAGGACCTGGATATGAGATCAGTCCAGTGTAATTATACCTAGGTAGGACCAGGGTATGAGATCAGTCCAGTGTAATTATACCTAGGTAGGACCAGGGTATGAGATCAGTCCAGTGTTATTATACCTAGGTAGGACCAGGATATGAGATCAATCCAGTGTAATTATACCTAGGTAGGACCAGGGTATGTGATCAATCCAGTGTAATTATACCTAGGTAGGACCAGGGTATGAGATCAGTCCAGTGTAATTATATCTAGGTAGGACCTGGATATGAGATCAGTCCAGTGTAATTATACCTAGGTAGGACCAGGGTATGTGATAAATCCAGTGTAATTATACCTAGGTAGGACCAAGGTATGGGATCAGTCCAGTGTAATTATACCTAGGTAGGACCAGTCCAGTGTAATTATACCTAGGTAGGACCAGGGTATGAGATCAGTCCAGTGTAATTATACCTAGGTAGGACCAGTCCAGTGTTATTATACCTAGGTAGGACCAGTCCAGTGTAATTATACCTAGGTAGGACTAGGGTATGAGATCAGTCCAGTGTAATTATATATCTAGGTAGGACCTGGATATGAGATCAGTCCAGTGTTATTATACCTAGGTAGGACCAGGGTATGAGATCAGTCCAGTGTAATTATATCTAGGTAGGACCTGGATATCAGATCAGTCCAGTGTAATTATACCTAGGTAGGACCTGGATATTAGATCAGTCCAGTGTAATTATACCTAGGTAGGACCTGGATATTAGATCATTCCAGTGTAATTATACCTAGGTAGGACCAGGGTATGAGATCAGTCCAGTGTAATTATACCCAGGAAGGACCAGTCCAGTGTAATTATACCTAGGTAGGACCAGTCCTGTGTTATTATACCTAGGTAGGACCAGTCCAGTGTAATTATACCTGGGTAGGACCAGTCCAGTGTAATTATACCTAGGTAGGACCAGGGTATGAGATCAGTCCAGTGTAATTATACCTGGGTAGGACCAGTCCAGTGTAATTATATTTATGTAGGACCAGTCCAGTGTAATTATACCTAGGTAGGACCAGTCCAGTGTTATTATACCTAGGTAGGACCAGTCCAGTTTAATTATACCTGGGTAGGACCAGTCCAGTGTTATTATACCTAGGTAGGACCAGTCCAGTGTAATTATACCTAGGTAGGACCAGTCCTGTGTTATTATACCTAGGTAGGACCAGTCCAGTGTAATTATACCTAGGTAGGACCAGGGTATGAGACCAGTCCAGTGTTATTATACCTAGGTAGGACCAGTCCAGTGTAGTTATACCTAGGTAGGACCAGTCCTGTGTTATTATACCTAGGTAGGACCAGTCCAGTGTAATTATATCTAGGTAGGACCTGGATATCAGATCAGTCCAGTGTAATTATACCTAGGTAGGACCTGGATATTAGATCAGTCCAGTGTAATTATACCTAGGTAGGACCTGGATATTAGATCATTCCAGTGTAATTATACCTAGGTAGGACCAGGGTATGAGATCAGTCCAGTGTAATTATACCCAGGAAGGACCAGTCCAGTGTAATTATACCTAGGTAGGACCAGTCCTGTGTTATTATACCTAGGTAGGACCAGTCCAGTGTAATTATACCTGGGTAGGACCAGTCCAGTGTAATTATACCTAGGTAGGACCAGGGTATGAGATCAGTCCAGTGTAATTATACCTGGGTAGGACCAGTCCAGTGTAATTATATTTAGGTAGGACCAGTCCAGTGTAATTATACCTAGGTAGGACCAGTCCAGTGTTATTATACCTAGGTAGACCAGTCCAGTTTAATTATACCTGGGTAGGACCAGTCCAGTGTTATTATACCTAGGTAGGACCAGTCCAGTGTAATTATACCTAGGTAGGACCAGTCCTGTGTTATTATACCTAGGTAGGACCAGTCCAGTGTAATTATACCTAGGTAGGACCAGGGTATGAGACCAGTCCAGTGTTATTATACCTAGGTAGGACCAGTCCAGTGTAGTTATACCTAGGTAGGACCAGTCCTGTGTTATTATACCTAGGTAGGACCAGTCCAGTGTAATTATACCTAGGTAGGACCAGTCCTGTGTTATTATACCTAGGTAGGACCAGTCCAGTGTAATTATACCTAGGTAGGACCAGTCCTGTGTTATTATACCTAGGTAGGACCAGTCCAGTGTAATTATACCTAGGTAGGACAAGGGTATGAGATCATTTCAGTACCACATAACCAACGTATGGGATCTTATTTTTATTCTACTTTGGCAGACAAATTATCACACCATAAAATTCAAATGCAATACAGTTTGTATTTATCCTCTTTTTGATCTTGCCTTTGATAAGTAGAATTGAATTTATGTCAAAGCATGAAAACTTAACTAAGTTTTGTTTTGTTTTTTAATTCCTTCATAATGTGATCTACAATCAAAGACAACTAAGACGTTGTCTCTCCCCCACTCCATTAGGAGTTTTATTTAATATTTGTTTTATGTTTTAAGATAAATGGAGTCCAGCTTTACAAATCCGAACTGTTTTGCTGTCCATCCAAGCCCTTCTAAGTGCTCCAAATCCAGATGACCCCCTAGAAAATGATGTAGCTGAAGCATGGAAGACAGATGAGGCAAGCGCTATAGAAACAGGTACAACTGTAGTGATGTATATATCTCTGTTTAACTATACATAACTACCATTACAGGGACATGTGATAAGGATTGTGCAGATACCCCCAACCTTTCTTGATTTCCCAACAACAATAGTTAGTAGTACTGGTCACTGAGAACAAAATTTTCATGTCTGTAGTGCTGATAGCAGAAAATTAGAATCTACTAACAGTCACCCCTATGTGCATCCAGCTACATCAACGTTTTGGGCAGATGTGGGCCTAAAGTTTATTTGATTCTTGGAAGTTGTCATCAACTTTCACTAAGCTAATCAGCCTGCTTATGTCTGCTTACTTCTTTACCAAGGTAATTGGGACCAATTGTACTATTTTTTTTTATCATTGTTTCTTTTTTTTCTGGAATGGTACGTGACAGTGTTTGGTGCAAATTGCCCATACCTCTGTATGTATGTCTTACTCTAAGGTTAACCATTGACAACTCCTTATTGTAAGGTATACTGAAGGTTACTGAGGTCAGAAACATTTTTAAAAATTGTTGACTGGAAATTATTAGTTACACCCCTAAAACCTTAAGTCTAAATTGAAAAGAAAATATTATTTAAGGTGTTGGATGTACGTTTGTTGTATCATTTGTATATAGGTTTTAATGAATCATATAATACAGTTGAAACTCGTTATCTCGAAATTCAAGGGACCATGGAAAATATTTAGACTTTTCGAAATTTATACTCAAACAAAGTGTATAAATAAGGTTGATGATATCAGTTTCTTGGCATTGATTATGGTTGAACAAAGTAGGGCTACGATAGCACGCAAACAGCATAGTTTAATCTGATATTTGAAATGGCAGTTAGTAAGCAAATTTATTTGTGCTTTCTCCTGTTATTTCATCCAAACAACAAAACATGTAATAACAACTTCAATCAAATACAATCAAACAAAATCAAAATTTACTTTTGATTTGCTACAAACGACGTATGAAGCTACAGATTAGATTTAATATGACTTTACTATGAATAAATAAATATATGAAAAAAAAAACTAGAAGGTTTTTAACCTGTTACAGAAAACATTCTAATCTGTGTATGTATTGACCAATTTCGTCAGGAGACGTGTCAGTGTTTTGACAAAAATTAATTTTGTAACAAGGAATGATCTTCCACTTGATTTTCAATTGAAGGGACTGAAAAATCGCCTCAACTTGACCAAAATTTCGACTCAATGAAATTTGAGTCATCCCATCTAAAATTACAAAGATATTGGAAAAAACTGGGACTTGAAAATATCACTTTTACTCAAATAGAATTTTGACTTTAATGATTTTGAGACGAAATTCAACTTTATGTAAATATATTTCTATTTGTGGTTTAAGGGAAACATTTTCTTTTAGATGATATTCACGCATAATATAAAGAGAGTGTTCATTTTTCTTTACAGCTAAATCCTGGACATGTAAATATGCAACTGGGAAGAACATTAAGAACTGATGGATGTTTGATGTGTTATTGTATGAGGGTGTGGAGGAGAAACTGCCTCGAGGATCAACTCCTCACTATTGGGCAGTTACCATGGGAGGCCACAAGCATGCAATTCATTTGGGAAAACAGTGATAACTCGCCATATCATTTTTGTACATCGGCACTGCTGGAGGATACAAGTTAAAAGTGTCGAGGGTAACAAGTTTTAAGCATACTAACACAAGTATAATTAGGAGGTGTTGCTGATATAGGGGTGAGGGAGGGATCTAATGCTTTCCTACATGTACAGGGCACGTGCATGGTTATGAATTTTTGTGTGAACACATGTTTATGGATATTTTCAGTACATAACCAGTAAACTATACGAGTCACTGAAGTATGTCTACAGCCAATTGAAAACATGGATGCAAGTGGGTCTGTTAAGTACATGTGCGAAAATGAAAAAAAAAGTCAGGCAAATGTTAAAAAAAAGTCAGGCAAATGTTAAAAAAAAGTCAGGCAAATGAAGGTATTATTGTTCTGTTGCAGTAAAGTTATTATAGTTTTCTGTCAAATATTGTGTTTGTTATAAGTTTCTAAAGAGAAATAAATCACTTCACTCTCTCCAACTTATCAATCTGTTATCATAAATTCAATTTGTAACTGACATTAACTGGAGATGTCGAAACAAAATTTAAAATATTTTACATTAGAAAGTCTAGATCACAGATTCTGTTTTTATTCAGTAGGACATTCAGTTGACCATTCAGCTATTTCGAAGGTCAAATCATTAATCTGTAGGGTCAACACAATGTCCTTCCAAACCAAAGATTTTAAGACTGATTTTTGGGAATGAAATAAGATTATTGCATGTCCCAGTCATTGTCTTCTGGATGTTTGGAGTCTTCATTACTTTATATAAAATTCAAACATCTCACAGATATCTGTTACTGATATTATTAGTCGATACAGTTACGTGCGAGTTACTATGTCTTACTAATTGAAAGTCTTAAAAAACAAATTAATATGAATAGAATGTAACCTACCCAGTTTCAATGTGTAACATCTGTTTGATATGAGTGAGTGTATGTAAATACCATTGATGTTTTAAGAATGAAAGTGTACCTGTCAAGCTTGAAGACATTTTTAACATGTATTACATTGATACACCCAAAACACTAACTTCAGGACTCTGACATGAGAATTATGTTTTATGTGGCTTAGTGTATGTTTCTTAACCTTTTAGAGTGTATGATTTACCTGCTTAGACACATTAATTTCCAATGAGAACAGCACAAAAATACGGTGTAATTGGTTTACTTTATCATATTCAAATTTTGGTATCAAAACTGGGAGTACCTTATTGTAACTATGTGAGGTAACTAGAAAAATTAGACTTTGATGAAAAAAACCTGTTAAATGATATATAACTTTTGATGTATGACAATGGAAAAACCTATGGATGATTTTTTTTACAGAGCATTGGTTTTTTATAAGATAAAATAGCCCAGTACACTTGTTTTACTCACTATCATCTGTAGTAGAGAGTACTAGTATTTGAGTAATTTATCAGCTTATGAAAGATGTAGTAATTTTTTGAGAAAAAGGGTAGAATTTTTTTTATACATGATGGATGATATGATTTGAAAATTTGTTCCGTGGAGGTCGTTTTGGAAATTTGTTCCTTGGAGGTCGTTTTGGAAATTTGTTCCTTGGAGGTCGTTTTGGAAATTTGTTCCTTGGAGGTCGTAGAAACTTAATATAACAGATGAAGCATGAATTGCTTCAAATGTAGTGACGTATTAACATTAACATTCAGGTATAAGATTTGTTTGTATTTAATTTACTGATCATTTGTAGGACATTTGTGTCATAATAATACGGTTATTTATGATTTTCTTCTACATGTTTTTAATGTGTAATGGTGCCAAGGAATACAATAGTGCTAATTGATAATAAACAATGTGTCTGTAATTCAGAAGGGCAGACAATATGGACTATATGTGTATCAGAAATCAAAATGATACATAATAATTTTGAAAATCTAAATATAGATTTAAAGGAGATTATACGGTCAGAAATTCTCTCATTTGTATGAAGTCTGAATAGTCAATTGTTTCAATGACCAAAACTAACCCTAATTATGTGTTGCAGCAGTGATGTCACAAACAATGTTATTGAATCATCTTTGTTTTAATAGTAGTTTTAGCTCGTATGAATTAATATGAGGCTAGCTGAATAGTTTTTTTGAAATTTGTAGCAGTTAATCTGATGTATGTCAAAGGGAGGTAAACAAGAGATAGTCTCAGTTGCTAGATTTATCTCCCTTAAGAAAAATCAGCACCAGTTCTCAAATGTTGGAGGATGTGTCATATTAGGGTCCATTTTAAAAAGTTTTGTTTTGAAGTTCTCAGAAGTCATCTTTCAAATCAGCTTTCTGTTTATAATGCTATAACATACAAAGCTTGCTGATTTGAAGCTGCAGAATTTAGACAGAACTTTATAAAAATATGTGTGTATCCAGTCATAAAAAAAAAGTTTTATGAAAGAATGAACAAATTACACTTTAAACATGTGTTGAGTAAATGGTTTAAAAAATGTGCAAGTATAATTTTGAATAACATTAATGTTATAATCGTATCAAATTACATTGATACAACATTGATAGTACATGTATACGTTACCTGTTAGAGTGACCACTCTGAAGACGGATCTCATACTGTTATCCTGTGTAGAATCAGTTAACACTGAAGAAGGTTCTATGATCAGTATGCTACTGGAATTGGTGGTCAATGACTGTTGGTTGTACTGTCCGTTGACCTCAGGATGACGGACATATCTAGATTTTTGTTTGTTGATAATATGGTATTGGATTCTACAGCAACTCCATTCATCACGCCTTCACTCAGTCTTTAAACAAATTACGTCCCGCAAAAACTGAAACTGGTTTTGTATACATTATTATTAAAAAGTTTTATAATGAGAGTTGGCATGCATTTCCAGCTATTAATAGACTGGAGTAGGTAGCCTTATATTGTATATTGTACGGAGGAAGACTCAATCTTCGTCAGTTATGGAGTACAGGTTCACTGTGAAGATTATGTAAATGTCTTGTGTGGTGTCACAAATATGGAGGTATTTAGAGATTCACTGTAATAATTGTATTATGTTTGAGATACTAGATTTTGAGGTTACATGTTTTGTGCATATCTTTGTTTTTCTCCTTAGTTTTGATAGTTGCCATCCACAAGCATTTCTGGTTTTGATTTTTTTGTGATATAATGATCAGTCATTACATGCCTCTTACTGAATTTGATGTTTCTTACACAATCATTCTCATGTCAGGTTCTAGATGGAGTTAGCACTTAGTATTTATTCTGTCAATTTTCTTCGGGGCAATGACATTCGACTATTATGTAATACATGCATATGTGAGAGACTGAATTAAAACTTGGAAAAGTAACCTTCATCTTTGTTTTGTATCCTTTAAGTTTTGATAACTTGTCGTGAAAAGTAACCTTCATCTTTGTTTTGTATCCTCTAAATTTTTTAACTTGTCAAAGACAAAGATCATCCAGCATCTGTTTGTCTATGAGTTTTTACTGTAGGAATTCTTGTTAGATAATAAAGAAACAGGACCATTAGTGTCTTATCTTGAAACATAATATGGACCAATAGGGCAAGAAGTCACCAGGATAGTCATGTTACTCTCACTCTGGGTAGGTATATCAACACTTCTCTCAAGAAAGATTTCCCAAGGGAGTGATGGATGGTGTCCCCTGTCACCATGGTGATGTCACAACAGTATTTCAAAGACATTACAATTAGTAATGTTGAATCTTCAATGTTGATTATTAAGAAAATAACATTAATGTAAAGATACCCAAAAGGAAAAAGAGAAAATCATTCATTTACCCCTTTGAAGATGAGATTAATGGAAGTTTTCACCCCATTTGGAGGTGAGATAGTGGAAAGTGATTAAGTTAGCAAACACAAGGCTTGCCAAGGATTGAGATTGCTACAGTTTTACACTGGCAAGTAGGGCATATAGATCTTCATTGGGTTTAACCAGAAGTTTCAATAAACCGAATTCATGAATAGTGACACAGACATTAGAAATTATTACATTAACAAGAGATCCCAGAGGGATCTTGGCACCTACCATTTGAGGATCTGTTTTCAGTTCTTGAAGATTTTTTTTTGTTTGTTACAGGTGTTGTAAATGTTCATGAACTGGTCTTCATTGAATGTACTCAATGATGGCACAAGATATTTTTATTAAGCACCTATTAGCAAATATCATTTGAAAAAGATCCCAAAGTATTATTAGATAGCAGTCAGTTACAGGTGGATAATGGACAATATGCTTGTGCTGTATTACTATCGACATCCAAGATGGCTGCCTGTGGGCCAACTTGATTTCAAATCAGTCCAAAAAAGGTACAATGCACAACTAGGGACCAAGGGAAACCAACATCTATGAAATATCAGAAGGATCCATCCTGGACTTCCTCAGATATAGCAGTAACGAGATTTTACTCTCAAAATCCAAGATGGCTGCCTGTCAGCCCGCTTGATTTCGGATCAGTCCAAAAAAGTATAATGCACAACTTGGAACCAAAGGGAACCTGTATATGAAATTTGAGAAAGATCGATCCAGTACTTTCCAAGAAATAGCAGTAACAAACTTTTACATTCAAAATCCAAGATGGCCACCTGTCTGCCATCTTGAATTCGAATTAGTCCAAAAAAAGGTACAATGCACAACTAGGGACCAAGGGGAACCTGCATATGAAATTTGAGAAAGATCCATCCAGTACTTTCCAAGAAATAGCAGTAACAAACTTTTACATCCAAAATACAAGATGGCCACCTGTCGGCCATCTTGAATTCGAATCAGTCCAAAAAAGGTACAATGCACAACTAGGGACTAAGGGGAAACTGCATATGAAATTTGAGAAAGATCCATCCAGTACTTTCCAAGAAATAGCAGTAACAAACTTTTACTTCCAAAATCCAAGATGGTTGCCTGTCGGCCATCTTGAATTCGAATCAGTCCAAAAAAGGTACAGTGCACAACTAGGGACCAAAAGGAAACTGCATATGAAATTTGAGGAAGATCCATCCAGTACTTACTCAGAAATAGCGGTAACAAACCTTTACTTCCAAAATCCAAGATGGCCACCTGTCGGCCATCTTGAATTCGAATCAGTCCACAAAAGGTACAGTGCACAACTAGGGACCAAGGGGAAACTGCATATGAAATTTGAGAGAGATCCATCCAGTACTTTCCCAGAAATAGCGGTAACAAACTTTTACTTCCAAAATCCAAGATGGCCACCTGTCGGCCATCTTGAATGCGAATCAGTTCAAAAAAGGTACAATGCACAACTAGGGACCAAGGGGAACCTGCATATGAAATTTGAGAAAGATCCATCCAGTACTTTTCCAGAAATAGCGGTAACAAGAATTGTTTACGGACGGACGGACGACGGACAACGGACGCAGGGCGATTTGAATAACCCACCATCTATTTGAATAGATAGTGGGCTAAAAATGTATACAATTACTACAGTGAGAAATACACCCTTCAACAACACAATTTCTTTCTTCCTTGGTATTTGTGCAACAGCAAGAGTTTCTAGTTGTTTCTCTTGTATATATTTATCATGCAGCTGTTGTCATTTCCCAGTGGAAGAAGTTAAATTTTGTACTCTGCATGTATTCAATGTCCGAAAATGATAAAAGCATAGATAGTTTTCATTTTAGAAATAAGGATGGCCCTCCTAACCTTATCTTGCTTTCTGGCTGGCCTTCAACAAAGCCTTTTGATGCTTGTATTCATATCTGTAGGTCCATCCAGATTTATGCTTGAAATGATGCATTGAAAATGTGGAAGAACCGTTTTCCTGCATAAACAAAAACCGCCGTTCCGTAATTCATGATTATTCAGGAGAAAGTTTTTGTTTCAAAGTTATTCCTTTTCATTCCAGAGAAATGGTATAATACTGGGACTCCTGACCTTACAATAGGTCAAGGTTCTCTATTTGAACAAACTTGATGGTCACCTTCATCCATGTTTGTTTCTGGCCAAATATTAAAAGATGTCTTTAAAAGACTGTATCCAAGTGATCAGTGAGATATTGAAAGAGGGTTCAGATCTTTTCTTGTAACTATCCTTTTTGAAAGAATTTGTGAACAGCATAACTAACAAAAACCCAGTTCAATCTTACTTCATTTCAGAACTAGGAAAAGTATTGGAAGTGATCAAGAGTCCCCAAACATTTGATTTTAGTCCTGTTATGATCTGTTGTGAATGTCCATGTACAGTCCGGTGATGAAAAATCCCTAGAAGGTCACTGTAACCTGATAGCTTATAATAGACGCCATCCTCTGCCCAATTCTGGTCACATGGTCTCACATAAATTTAATTTGAGAGAACACCAAAACAACGATATTTTCATCTTGGTCATTTTATTTGTATCAAAAATGCACTTTTAACAGTGATATTTTATTGTGTAATTAAAGTATTGCATAATTTCCTGGAATCTAGATTGTAACTGATAAAATATAAACCACATAAGAATTGAACTATAACTCATTCATTTAGCAGCTGATAAGCACCTTACATTGCAAATGATATAATTGATGTTTAATTCATGTAAGGCCCATACTTGCGGTGTTTATCCGACACACCTTTAGGTAGGAATATGATGTGTTGCTTTTATATCTACCTGTCTTAAATGTTTTCTTTACTCAACTGAATAAATCTATAACTCAAGAAACAGTTGTTCAGGAACAAAATGACCAAGACAAACAGGTCAAAATTATTGATTTGTTTATAATTGGTTTATAATTTGATTATCAGAGAAAAAAAATATCCATCATAAAAATATTGTCAACATTTTAATGTTGATTTCTCAGAACCCCCCTGACAATACCACTTAATGATTACCATAATACAATTGCTGTATAAATCATTTAAACTTTTTTTATAATTTTCTCTCGGCATTTTTTTCTCAAAACAAAAATTCTGAAAAACACCAGAAAAATTTCACAAATAGTAGCCAAAAACCTTAATCTTCAACAAAGTAGCATTAACAAAAGTATTTGTTAGAGGCTTAATACTATCTATATGATATATGTATATATGTAGATATTGTCTACAATGTTATGAAGTAGAACTATACAGCAAGTATAATGTATTAAGTAATATATAGCCCTCATGGTAACTGAAATATTGAAATAGTATGATACCACACTGTCGTCTCATTTCTGTTGTGTTTGCCGTCTTTGCTGAGAAAATTTTTAAAAATTTGACTGTACTGCAATTGAATATTGAATGCCTATAACACAAAGTTTAACAAGGTGGTCTCTAGATATTCTTTACATTATATAAGATATCGGCCAATCACACTGGCAGGATGTAGGATGGATGTACTAAATAACCAAGGCTATGGGAGTGGCAGAAGCCTTAGGTGATTTGACAAGTAACTTCGACAACACAGAATGAGGTACCTACATTAAGACAATACAAAATGTGAAACATAACTTAATGACATCACCGTAACCAGCTTTAGGACAAAATAATGAGAGTTCTGCTTAAAATATGAAAAATTCTAACACTAAGATCAGGGTAACAAGTAACATCCCTACACATCTAACAGTAAAACATGTTTTCACACTAATTATACCAGTTAACATATTTACAGACTTGTATCATGCTTTATATACATACTACGTACTTTGAACATGTTTCATCCCTCTAACTTGTGTCAACATTAAACAGGTAGATAGGATTCTAGGAACAAGGCTTGTATTGGCTTAACCTGCTGCCCAATTCCCATACAATCAAATAAATTTCATTAGTGAGAAGGCTTGTGACTTGTATCATATTATCATGTATTAAATACTGACAGGCAACATACCCGGTATACTATACAGGTATGTGTTAAGGCTTTGAATTTGTGCCAGCATGTAACAAAGGTATTATACAGGTACATCTTACAGCTCTAAATTCTTTCCAGCATGCTGTAAATATATTACACAAGTTTATAGATCACTATACACAAGTATAATTAAGTATCATATACTACAAAGAGGAATATTACTGGAGTACACAACAAAAATAAAAGGCATTTATTAATCGGGAACAGCAACTAAATGTATGCATCAGTCTAAAATTGTAACAGCTGGTACTGAAATATGCGGCACGAAAAGAAACTATCATAACAACATGGCTGGAAAAACCCAACCAAGTAAAACATAAAAATTCTTGTTACGTATTCTGTTAAAAGTATTTTAATAATTTCAATAAATTTGATGAAGCACTGATTAAGCTCAATTATAAAAAGCTAATAACTAAAACAATACCACTAAAACTGCATAAAGCATGAACATAAAATGTGTGGCAGGTTTTTTGGCCAGTTTTTTTCATAGATTGAACGGCAAATTTTTGCCAAATTTCAAAGGAGAAAAGCTACTCTATATTTCCTGCTCTTCCACAGTAAAAATATGGCTGACATTAGGAATTCCTATTGAAGCACCAAATGGTGAGATAAACCACCATTCATTAACACACTAAAGATTTGTGACTGCTGATTGGTTAAAAACAATTCTATTGTGTACTTGTAATGTTTCCCATATTATTTAGAAATTACTGGTATATTTTACCCCTAACAATGTATAACAATGCATTCATACAGGAGAGTCCTTGAAAACTAAGGACACAAATCTTAAATTTTACAAATTTAGAGGGTTTTGTACCCTCATTCATAGCTAATGGGGAACAATGTTGTTTTAAATTTGAAATAAGGGAAAAGTATGTTGTGGAAACATAATATTGTTATCTAAATCTATTTCCTTTTCAATATGATAAAGTAGTGTTGCTTCTGTTTAACTGAGCTGTTCAGTACAATCTGCTGATTCAGATAAGTGTAGTTAAAAGGTTTGGGAAGGGACAGAATCCTAAGCGTAACAGTTTGGAGTGAAAATATGGGAGAGTCTCAAGAAAATAGGGGTGGACAGGTAAGGTATCTGCAGACTCTTTCACATGTATCAGTAAGACATGGATGAGTGTATGTGAAGGTGATGCCCCTACAATCAGTAATACGTTGGTCTGAAACAAAGCTATATATGCTGCAGTGAAACAGTCAGAAAGCAGGTCATGGACTGACGAAGAAGAACAGTGGATCACTGAAAACTAATACAAAAAATACATCTCTCTTTAAAAATAGAATTCTGAAATATCAAATGTAAAATAAACATCTACTTAACAGTGGTATGTGTACGATTCACACTAGACCTATCACAACTATTGCTTTGTATTATGACACACTTAAATCTCTATGACGATGAGAGATTCTCATGGCTGTGATGGAGAAAAAACATGGCTAAGAGCTACTGTTTACAGCTTCTAATAAACAGTTAATATTTGTTTTAGCATGATTTTGTGATCAAATACTGAAGAAAATTCCAACATATTTCATTATGTTACAAGGAACAGAGGTGGATGAACATTCAATTTTTTAAATGGTGTTTGAAATCTATTACTTAAGTAAAAACTATGAAAATTGATTCCCAATAGAATTATACAAAGCACTCCTAGCACCAACACTTAAATCAACAGTATGATTGATGTCCGAGGTAGGCCTAGTGGATCAGCAGTGATCGTCACATAAACTTATTTATCATCTCAGGTGTGCTTTTCTATTATTACTAAAATGATTAAATAATCTATAGAACTACCAATAACTAAGTATTCTTTGTAAATTGCCAGGAAAAAAACTTTTATTTGTAGGAAGGAGAACAGAGCACATCTTGTAGCACTTGAAAAGTTTATGATCCAATTATGCACAGGCCAGAGACACTTGAAGTGAGGCGTAGGTACAGTTGGATCTATTACAGATCTTCTCGCGGGCAGATAATGCTTCAAATTTCAGAGGCTTATGGCAGAATTCACATTCATCAGGACATGCTTGAGTGAAGAGGTCAAGGCCATTATCCTCCCACACCTGGACAAGAGCGTTGACCAAGCTGTCAAGCATTTCTTTTGTATGGTGTGGAGTTGGGGCGATGCGGAGACGTTCCATGCCATGCTCTACAGTGGGGTAGTTGATAGCCTGAACATAGATATTGTGAAGGCTTAGGAGATCATTGGACAGTTTAGTACACAAGGCAGCATCTCCAACCTGTAAGAAAAACAACAATATTATTAACATTGTACAAGAATATAAAAAAGTATGAAACAGTATTAAATAAGTATAATTCTTGACTGATTTGATAAAAGATTGAAGTCTAGTTCTATTTATAAATAATACATTTATTTGCTCACTTAATATCATTTAACTTTCAGATAAAATTGAGTAGGACGAAGATGTGAGTGTTAAGTAAGTTTTACATACATGTACAGGTATGATGTGACTTGGACAATGTAAAGCTGGAATGCCCTTTTCCTTCATTTTTTCTCTCAGATATTGCACTTTTTGTTGATGGACATGCCTAAGCTGTCTTCCCTCGTCACTACGGAGAATCTGAAAAAGGAAAAACAGATCTTTCATCAGTCTCCTTGGTTTCTACATATGAAAAACCTTTCTTGAAAGATTTTGCTGGACACAACGAAGAATTAGTATTGATAATGCCATTATTTATTTAGGTCCTAATTTTTTTTTTTTTTGGGGGGGGGACATATCAGAATCTATTTTCCAATTGATATTGTAATGCCACAAAACCAGTCTAACAGATATCAAGTTTTTGTGTCTTTCTACATAAAAACGCTGGAGTCAGTAACTGTAAAGCTACCCTATGCAGTCATAGTAAAATACTTGATCTTTGAACTTTCAGGTTTAGATATTTCAAAATCACTTTATATGTTGATTACATATCAAAAGCAACAATAAATTGTGAATTTTATTCAATGTGACAAGCATTTTTAAACAATTAAAACTGAGTTTGAATTTAAGAAAAAATATCTTTAACAAAAAAACCTATTGTATATGAAATATAGCTTTATGAAGTTAATAATACATTTTACACTGTACATGAAACAGTAGAAATTATTTTGTTGGACTGTAAATCACATTTAAAATCCAGTAATTCAGTTCTGATGTAACACCATGAAACCCAACACATACTGTGAATGATTTCAAATTATCACACCCAGACCTACATAGATATAAAGCAGGAGGGATGGAGTATAGTGTATCCTTCTGGAGTACAACACATTTAAAACATACCATTTCTTATACTTTTTTCTTCCTTGCAATAATCCAACATTTTTGTCCTATTTTTAGCTGGTATAATAAGAATTTGAGCTGCATTGGTGTAGAATGAAAATTTATGAAGTTATAAAACACATACAAAAATAAAAATGACGAAAATAAGTTGGGTTTTTTTTCTTTTTAATTAAATTACTTTAAAAGGCTTCCCTAGCAACAACAGTAGTTTATACCTTGACCGATGCTAGGGACCCAGCCAGTGTGGTAGGTGGTAGAGAGGTGGTGAATATGAACCCTGAGGCATAGCTCCGTATCATGTCGATTGTATTAGCCGATGCAGCAATGTATCCCCCGACATTTCCGAAGGCTTTCCCTGCGTGTGAAATATCATAGCATGATTTGTAAAAGCTACAGAAGGTTCTCTATAGTCTGACATAATACATTTGATAAATACTTTAGTCTCATCAAAAACTCTATCATAAAACGTTTTTCTTGCTCAGATCCAATTTTTGGTAAAGGTTAGACATCATATATTCTCTACAATGCAGACTTTTCTCCATACCAGCCCAACTGTCCTAACAGTGTCCGCTCTAGACAGCATATTTAACTCCATATCAGCCCCAGTGTCCACTCTAGACAGCATATTTATCTCCTTATCAGCCCCACTGTCCCAACAGTGTCTGCTCTTGACAGCATATTTATCTCCAACAACCCCCACTGTCCTAACAGTGTCCGTTCTAGACAGCATATATATCTCCATATCAGCCTTACTATCCTAACAGTGTCCACTTTAGACAGCATATTCATCTCCATACCAGCCCAACTGTCCTAACAGTGTCCGCTCTAGACAGCATATTCATCTCCATACCAGCCCCACTGTCCTAACAGTGTCCGCTCTAGACAACATATTCATCTCCATACCAGCCCAACTGTCCTAACAGTGTCCGCTCTAGACAGCATATTCATCTCCATACCAGCCCCACTGTCCTAACAGTGTCCGCTCTAGACAACATATTCATCTCCATACCAGCCCAACTGTCCTAACAGTGTCCGCTCTAGACAGCATATTCATCTCCATACCAGCCCCACTGTCCTAACAGTGTCTGCTCTAGACAACATATTCATCTCCATACCAGCCCCACTGTCCTAACAGTGTCCACTCTAGACAGCATATTTATCTAGCCCCACTGTCCTAGCAGTGTCCACTCTAGACAGCATATTCATCTCCATACCAGCCCCACTGTCCCAACAGTGTCCGCTCTAGATAGCATATTTATCTCCTTATCAGCCCCACTGTCCCAACAGTGTCTGCTCTAGACAGCATATTTATCTCCTTATCAGCCCCACTGTCCTAACAGTGTCCACTCTAGACAGCATATTTATCTCCATACCACCCCCACTGTCCTAACAGTGTCCACTCTAGACAGTATATTCATCTCCATATCAGCCTTACTGTCCCAACAGTGTCCACTCTAGACAGCATATTTATCTCCATACCAGCCCCACTGTCCTAACAGTGTCCGCTCTAGACAGCCTATTTATCTCCATACCAGCCCAACTGTCCTAACAGTGTCCACTCTAGACAGCATATTCATCTCCATACCAGCCCCACTGTCCTAACAGTGTCCACTCTAGACAGCATATTCATCTCCATACCAGCCCCACTGTCCCAACAGTGTCCACTCTAGACAGCATATTTATCTCCTTATCAGCCCCACTGTCCCAACAGTGTCCACTCTAGACAGCATATTTATCTCCTTATCAGCCCCACTGTCCTAACAGTGTCCACTCTAGACAGCATATTTATCTCCATACCACCCCCACTGTCCTAACAGTGTCCACTCTAGACAGTATATTCATCTCCATACCAGCCCCACTGTCCTAACAGTGTCCACTCTAGACAGCATATTCATCTCCATACCAGCCCCACTGTCCTAACAGTGTCCGCTCTAGACAGCCTATTTATCTCCATACCAGCCCAACTGTCCTAACAGTGTCCACTCTAGACAGCATATTCATCTCCATACCAGCCCAACTGTCCTAACAGTGTCCACTCTAGACAGCATATTCATCTCCATACCAGCCCCACTGTCCTAACAGTGTCCACTCTAGACAGCATATTTATCTCCATATCAGCCTCACTGTCCTAACAGTGTCTGCTCTCGACAGCATATTCATCTCCATACTGGCCCCATTGTCCTAGCAGTGTCCACTCTATAGACAGCATATTTATCTCCATATCAGCCTTACTGTCCTAACAGTGTCCGCTCTAGACAGCATATTTATCTCCATATCAGCCCCACTGTCCTAACAGTGTCCACTCTAGACAGCATGTTTATCTCCATATCAGCCTCACTATCCTAACAGTGTCCACTCTAGACAGCATATTTATCACCATATCAGCCTTACTGTCCCAACAGTGTCCACTCTAGACAGCATATTCATCTCCATACTGGCCCCATTGTCCTAACAGTGTCCACTCTAGACAGCATATTTATCACCATATCAGCCTTACTGTCCCAACAGTGTCCACTCTAGACAGCCTATTTATCTCCATACCAGCCCAACTGTCCTAACAGTGTCCACTCTAGACAGCATATTCATCTCCATACCAGCCCCACTGTCCTAACAGTGTCCACTCTAGACAGCATATTTACAGTTATTCAAAATCTTCCTTCAGACCTGACACTTTGATTTTATTGCAAGAGAGTCAGAAACAGTTCACAAATAAATCCCATACCTAGTGTGCCAGAGATTATATCCAGCTTGTTCATACATCCGTCTCGTTCAGCTACTCCAGCACCCTGACGTCCATACAGGCCGACAGCATGCACCTCGTCTACAAAAGTTATAGCCCCATACTTATGGGCGACATCACACAGCTCTGACAGTGGACATACAGTGCCTGTGATAAACAGAAAACAAATGTCTGACAAACCTGAAGGTACGTAACACATCATACTATGAAATTGAGTTCTGAGATCAATTGAGGCCCAATCTAAGGCTCAAAACATAAACAGATTTAGCTTGACAGATTTGGGGATTCGTTCTAGAAAATCAAATTACACACATATTTGTTTTCTTTTCTAGCTACAGACTGAAAACTTTTACTCATATACTCACCATCCATGGAATGTACAGTTTCAAAGGCAACTAGTTTAGGCACACATATATCCACTTGTTTCAGGAGGTATTCTAAGTGCTCAGGATCATTGTGTCGGAATATATGCTTAGGTGCCCCACTGTTACGAATCCCTTGAATCATGGAGGCATGGTTTCCAGCATCAGAGAATATATGGACGCCTGAAGAAGGATATTTATGGTCAATGGATGTCAAAAATTACACCAAAGGAAACTGACATTATTTTGATTTCTATTCAAAGGAGCCCTAGTGGTACAGACATTCACTTGAGATAATCAATATTGAATATAATGGTTGTAGGGTAAGTAGCTTTCAAGTGTCAAATAAAGAGAAATTGCGACATTGATGACAGTAAGACTGTAAGATCTTGTGGGTTGGGGTAGAGGGGTCTGAGCCAGTGTCATTATATGTATACCATGTAGATATAGTTACAGGGTGGAGTCATTAGCTAGGTAGTCATGGAGATATGGTTACCTGGTATAGATTTCCCCACAGTGTACAGGGTGGAGTCATTAGCTAGGTAGTCATGGAGATATGGTTACCTGGTATAGATTTCCCCACAGTGTACAGGGTGGAGTCATTAGCTAGGTAGTCATGGAGATATGGTTACCTGGTATAGATTTCCCCACAGTGTACAGGGTGGAGTCATTAGCTAGGTAGTCATGGAGATATGGTTACCTGGTATAGATTTCCCCAGAGTGTACAGGGTGGAGTCATTAGCTAGGTAGTTATGGGGATATGGTTACCTGGTATAGATTTCCCCAGAGTGTACAGGGTGGAGTCATTAGCTAGGTAGTCATGGAGATATGGTTACCTGGTATAGATTTCCCCAGAGTGTACAGGGTGGAGTCATTAGCTAGGTAGTTATGGGGATATGGTTACCTGATATAGATTTCCCCAGAGTGTACAGGGTGGAGTCATTAGCTAGGTAGTCATGGAGATATGGTTACCTGGTATAGATTTCCCCACAGTGTACAGGGTGGAGTCATTAGCTAGGTAGTCATGGAGATATGGTTACCTGGTATAGATTTCCCCACAGTGTACAGGGTGGAGTCATTAGCTAGGTAGTCATGGAGATATGGAGTCATTTCCCCACAGTGTACAGGGTGGAGTCATTAGCTAGGTAGTCATGTATATATGTTTACCTGGTATAGATTTTCCCAGAGTGTACAGGGTGGAGTCATTAGCTAGGTAGTCATGGAGATATGGTTACCTGGTATAGATTTCCCCACAGTGTACAGGGTGGAGTCATTAGCTAGGTAGTCATGGAGATATGGTTACCTGGTATAGATTTCCCCACAGTGTACAGGGTGGAGTCATTAGCTAGGTAGTCATGGTGATATGGTTACCTGGTATAGATTTCCCCAGAGTGTACAGGGTGGAGTCATTAGCCACATAGCAGGATGTGAAGACAAGGGCAGCTTCCTTCTGGTGAAGAGATGCCAGCTCACGTTCCAATTCTTCATGAAGTGGGGAATTTCCTGAGATGTTCCTGGTACCACCAGCCCCAGCACCATGTTCCTTGACAGCCTGTCTGTAACACAAATCATTTCTGTCTAAGCATGAAGACTATCTACAACAAGTTATATCAGTCTCCATATACATCTCAAGCATATCAATATATATAGGTCAGGAAGCACACAACTTGAAGAGCAGAACCCCCTGGGCCTTAACACAGAATAAACATTTACTTGACAGCTTTAGTGGTCTTTGAATGCCAGCTCAAACCTAAACTCTTACTCAATGTGACCTTGGGATGCCAGATCAAACCCAAAGACTTACTCAATGTGACCTTGGGATGCCAGATCAAACCTAAAGACTTACTCAATGTGACCTTGGGATGCCAGATCAAACATAAAGACTTACTCAATGTGACCTTGGGATGCCAGCTCAAACCTAATGACTTACTCAATGTGACCTTGGGATGCCAGATCAAACATAAAGACTTACTCAACCGCCTTGGTGACCTTGGGATGCCAGCTCAAACCTAATGACTTACTCAATGTGACCTTGGGATGCCAGCTCAAACCTAATGACTTACTCAATGTGACCTTGGGATGCCAGCTCAAACCTAATGACTTACTCGATGTGACCTTGGGATGCCAGATCAAACCTAAAGACTTACTCAACTGCCTTGGTGACCTTGGGATGCCAGCTCATGCCGAGGTAGTCATTACTACACCAAACAGTAATGTCTCTCTTTTTCCCAGAGTGCTCTTCTGCATATGGAAACTTCTGACCTTTCCTCATCACGTTCTTGAAGATCCGGTATGAATGGTCCCTCTTTTTCTTTTGGATTTCTCCCTCAAAGAAACTTTCATAGTTGAATGGAGGAATTGAATCTAAAGGGCTATCTCCTACAAAAGGAAAATCATGACAGGATTTACAAATGTATCCTAAACTAGGGCAATACAAAGAGTTGTCACTAATGTACCAACTAAATGTTTCTCAGTTTTGTTGTATGTTTACTAAGTACAAACTACTCACAATTCCACATTCATAGCACTATGAATGCATGGGATGCCACATAATTTAGCTTAACACTCACTTTTATATTTGTTAGCCTACCTGATATGGTTGGAAGTCCACTAACAGGGACAATTAGCCCCCAAATTAACTATGAAATATTAAGAGATGCTTATATCACACTACAGTACACTGTTCCATAGCAAACATACTATATCTAACCTGCAATAAGCCCCCAGGTCTTATTATAATAAAATAGTGATTGTAAGTATTGTGACTGAACAGCAATAGATATTTGGGTTGGCTCATCAACAGGGGTGTATTGGCAGATAAAAAATTTATTTAATAACTCAAAATCTGATGTCTAAAAATTCAACCACTCTGAGCAAACAATCTTGGTTCAACACAAAGTTTGCAATATAGTATATCATGCAGTACACATTATAAAGTATGGGGGTAGTTTTTAAACTTTGTTGTATAGAACATCTATAATACACTAACCTATAGTCCCATCCATTGCATGCTTCATTTCTTCCAAGACTCTTTCCACTTGAAGACCTGATGGGAAACCTGGGGATTTGGAACGTGTTTTGGCTGGACTACGTACACTGCTCTGCCTGGCCTCTGTTTGTAATTTTTTATTACATTCCTCATCAACAATCAGACTCGGAGTAGTTGAGTCAGTGATGTCGGCCTCGGTAGTCACTTCCTCCTTTGTAGAGTCCATTACATCATCAGCAGATTCATGATCATGCAGAACGTCTGAAATAACAACAAAATGCTCAGGAGAATCCAACATACATACAATTCATATTTGTAATTTCTAACATAGCTTTACAAAACTTTGATGGCAAGACACTTACATGTTTAAGTCTGAGAAAACTCACTTTAAACAAAACAAAAGAATGGTGAAGGACAAAATATAATGGTGATATAAGTGATATACGTTCTTGGACTGAAAACACATGAAAGTATTGAAATATAATATTAATTCTACGATACCAATGTCTGTGAACAGCTTACAACAATGTATACTGTAAAGGGTGTTATCGTTTAAGTGTTCCATTTTTATAGATACTCAAGAATGAAATAAACTCAATAAAAGCTAAAACCTCCAATAAAGAATATAAAAAAAAAAACCAAGTCCAGTTAATTACTTCCAGGACACAAAATCCATCAAAATACTGAAATATATATTGTAACCGTTCAATCAAAATACTGAAATATATATTGTAACCATCCAATCAAAATACTGAAATATATATTATAACTGTCCAATCAAAACACCACTAGGAAAGCCATCCTCCGTACTCAGTAGTTACAATCAGTTTCTCTCTCTGCACCCCTGGAACATGTCATGGTAAAATTGAAGGTTCCATGTGTAACACTTTATGGACAAGATAAAAAGACTAGTTTGATCCTTTGATGTACATCAAACGAATCTCCAGATCACATTAGTGTATGTTGCGATGGCTTTGAAGCTGGGTGCCACTACTTTGTTATCTTCAAAAGGAATATATCAACCTGTGATTGGTCTGTCTTTTTTCCAGAAACCAATTAATTACTTCTTTTGTGCCTTCAATTTTGCCATGACATGTTCCAGGGGTGCAGAGAGTGAAAGTGACGTTAACCCCTGGAATATCGTTAACCCCTGGAATATCGTTAACCCCTGGAATATCGTTAACCCCTGGAATATCGTTAACCCCTGGAATATCGTTAACCCCTGGAATATCGTTAACCCCTGGAATATCGGGGATGTAGGAAAGCATGACTAATTGTAATCAGTGATGAGAATTACACAGTTGCTTGTCCCTCTTGTTCTGCTTTGTTGGTTTTATTGTCTTGACTGCAACAAAATGTCAGCAGTGAGACAATAAAACCCAATAGAAATAGTGCAGTACCATGACACTCCAGATCAGTAGATCTCCTTTACCATGCCAATAAAGTATTATTTCCAAGTACTCTAGACCAAGAAATTTAAATCAGAGCGTACCAGTAAGCTGACACTGAGAAACCTTGGTAACCTAATACAGAGAGCTGAAATTTTGTCTCTGAACACAAAGAAGTGATTACAATTAATTTCCTTAATTAATCATATAAATCATAAACCTATCTATAGTATCTTACAGGATTTCATAAAACACTAACAAAAAGGAGGCTTTTCTCACTCATACAAGTAAACTAAGAGAAACCACGGATTGTATTACCTTTCTGTGGCATGGTGGGAACATTTCCGGCGATGATCAAGTTGCTTTTGGCCAGAAATGGACATCTACTGACTGGATTCACTTCTGTAAGAAATGTTTACATCAGGTTAAATATCTAGACTAGCTCATATGGTTTTCAATTATCATTCATAGGTATTTGTGGTACGTTTCGTAAAGTATTTGTTTGCCTCTGTCAACAGACATGGTTTCTGGAGCAATCCTGGACCAAGCTGGTGGCTATTTCACTGAACAATATGCAGGAAGCCCACTTCATGCCATACAGAGCAAATTTTGGGGGTAAAGTGTGTTTCTCAGCTTCCTAAGATCATTAACCACTTGGAGTAGGAACTGAACAACACAGATTTACATATGTCATTACAGAGTTAAAAATGTCTACTTAGCGATAAATAGTCACCCAATGATGTGTTTCAATAAGAATCAAAGGGACACTAAGATTTAGATAAAGAAGAACGAGAAGATGGAGAAACTTTACAGATCTCAGAATGGAACTGTCTACTGGAATAATGACATGATACTTGCTTACCAGGTTCTGTTGCCTCTTTAGGTAAGAGACTCATGTATCGGAAGGCATGGGCCATGATAGGACAGCGTTCAGCATACGCCATCAATTGGGGCGCTGCTTTCTTCACCTGGTTCATCGGTATACGACTTAGAAATGGACATCGCAGTGATGCAGTCATGTTGCTCAATCTGAATAAAAGAGAACAATACATTTCAGTTATCACAATGGAAACACTATTATTTAGCCTTGAATTTTTGCCACTGGGACTAAACTACACAAGTTTTCAATAAACATGATGACAATTAAGGTAAATAAATTCAGAAGTTTTTTTTTGTTACCATAACAACAAAGCTTCCACACACATCAACAACATCGTTGTGATTAAACAGCACAAATGTGTCTCATTAGAGGTTACTATTGATTACCAAGCCTCCATAATCGACAACTACCTCGGTGTCTACATCAATACGGTGTCATATTCTACATCAATACAGACAAAAGTAGTACACATTAAACATCAAGTTTAATCAATTCATCGCAACCAGAGAATGTGACGTATTTTATTCATTCCAATTTACTTCATGTGTTAAACCTAAAATACTACTTTACTACAAACAGCATCTTTGATCAGTAAATTAATAAAAACATACATGAGCTAATGTAACAGAGGTTGCCACCTGAAAATGTCCCTATAGTCATATATATACTACACATGTACCTAGAACTATCCCTGTAGACATATATATACTACACATGTACCTGGAACTATCCCTGTAGTCATATATATACTACACATGTACCTAGAACTATCCCTGTAGACATACATGATACTACACATGTACCTAGAACTATCCCTGTAGACATATATATACTACACATGTACCTGGAACTATCCCTGTAGACATACATGATACTACACATGTACCTAGAACTATCCCTGTAGTCATATATATACTACACATGTACCTAGAACTATCCCTGTAGACATACATGATACTACACATGTACCTAGAACTATCCCTGTAGACATATATATACTACACATGTACCTAGAACTATCCCTGTAGACATACATGATACTACACATGTACCTAGAACTATCCCTGTAGACATACATGATACTACACATGTACCTAGAACTATCCCTGTAGACATACATGATACTACACATGTACCTAGAACTATCCCTGTAGACATACATGATACTACACATGTACCTAGAACTATCCCTGTAGTCATACATGATACTACACATGTACCTAGAACTATCCCTGTAGACATACATGATACTACACATGTACCTAGAACTATCCCTGTAGACATACATGATACTACACATGTACCTGGAACTATCCCTGTAGTCATACATGGTGCTGACATCACTCATTTCTTCAAATCAGGAACCAGTTGCCATAAATAATGTGTTTGTGATGTCATTATACACTTTCATAGAAATTTTCATCAAAATACGATATTGATTAAATTCTAACCAACCATGGGCTGTATCTAATGCCCACGGGGAAAAGTCATTTGTACTCCTAGATAATACCAGATTTTATGATAATTTTCCTACAGATCCTGATCTAACATCAACACTTTTGATATATTTATAAGTAATGGTAATATTTACATGAACATAAACTTACACAAATTACCTCCCCTTAAAATCTACTTCATTAAGAGATATGTATCTAAATTTAAATATTTTAATTTAAAGTGGAGATAAACACTGACTTTTCATCCATTTTCCCATTAACAGTGCTGACAGCTTTTAATACATTTAGTCCCTTTTAAATTTCATCAATGCTTGAATGCACAGGTAAATTTGATGGCTATGAACATAAATTTGGTGACAGGAAGTTGTGTACCTTCCTGGAGTAGTTCACAGTACACTGTCCCCAGTTTATCAGCAGGAAAGACCATGTTTCTCATCTAAATCCTGATGTCTTACACTGACGGTTTGGCTGGTCGATTTACTGAATTTCATTTTATGAACTTTCATTCAAAAACTTTTTGTGGTCATTAGTTAGGATTCCTTTATCAACTAAAACATACATGTTTATAAATCAGTGTACCTTAAATAGTCAGAGTAAGTTTACAATGAAACAAAGCAATAGGAAATAACAATCAATTATCCAGAAAATAGTACACTATCTAAATAAATTATTCTGAAACTAGTACACTATCAAAATCCATTATCCAGAAACTAGTTCACTATCTAAATCCATTATCCAGAAACTAGTTCACTATCTAAATCCATTATCCAGAAACTAGTTCACTATCTAAATCCATTATCCAGCAACTAGTTCACTATCTAAATCCATTATCCAGAAACTAGTTCACTATCTAAATCCATTATCCAGAAACTAGTTCACTATCTAAATCCATTATCCAGAAACTAGTTCACTATCTAAATCCATTATCCAGAAACTAGTTCACTATCTAAATCCATTATCCAGAAACTAGTTCACTATCTAAATCCATTATCCAGAAACTAGTTCACTATCTAAATCCATTATCCAGAAACTAGTTCACTATCACAATCGATTATCCAGAAAATGGTACACTATCAAAATCAATTATCCAGGAACTAGTTCACTATCAAAATTAATTATTCTGAAACTAGTTCACTATCAAAATCAATTATCCAGGAACTCGTTCACTATCAACATCAATTATTCTGAAACTAGTACACTATCAAAATCAATTTTCTGAAACTAGCACACCATCAAAATTATTTATCCAGAAACTAGTACAATTTCATGATAAATGATCATACCCCACTGTCATGATGGATTATTATAAAGTACACATTCAATGCTTTGTGTACTTGAAGTATACTGTGATAATTCTAAGAAGATGAATGAGACTGAGGTTCAGAACAAAATTAATTGAATAATCAGTGATATAACTGGTATTATTGTGAAATATCTTGATAGACAACCCACAGAACCTGCACAACATCACACAGAGGAGCTTGTTTATACAGAAATCCGTGCTTTATGGTACCTAACTTATCCCAATAACAAGAAGTCAATGCAGAGCAGTACTGTAGTAAAGCCTGTTCACAAGTCCTGACAGATTTTATCAGAATTAAACAACATTTATACAACACTGTATGGCTTGGTAACTAAAGAAGCATAATAACAAAAACAGTGTTTATTTTGGGTCATCCTCTCACAACCGAATACTAGTTGGAAATCTACAAATCTGATGGCATGTCAAGCTGTGCATGTGAAAAAACACGATCTTATAATGCCATTATAATACAGAATTTCTTCAACAATCTAACAAGTTTAACAAATTTTATGTTACATGGACACAAGTGTAACATTCTTTAACCTGTAGTTCTGAAAAATAAGTGAAAACTCCAATATACTCCCCTATAAGACAGACTTATTTCGACAAGAATCAAACATTTTTCACTACTGAGACAATCATGTGACATCAGCAAGATATGACTTATAAATGACGTCACAATAATGTTCCTAAATATGTCTTATGATTCGACTCTGTTGTATGACGTTATACCACAGGCCATTAACGTGATAAATCAATATTCACCTGATCTGAAAGATTACAAATACTGATTTGAGCTTGTTAAATATATAATGAATTATTCACACCTGCGATTTCTAAGATAAATATTTTCCTTAACAAGAAAACAATAAAGGAACATAATCTTCTTGTATCTTTTACAGTTTGTATTATCAACACAGGAAGACAAACAGATTCCACAGATAAGGAGTCCTGACCTAGATTAAGTGCACATATCAAGTGGTCCCAGATCATGCCAGATTTCACGTGGTAAAAGTCCATATAGGATATCTCAGAAAGGTCATGACGCACCAAAACCATCTCATTTTTACTGGTTCCATAAAGCTTTGAGAGATCATGTACACCAAAACCATCTCATTTTTACTGGTTCTATAAAGCTTTGAGGGATCACGACGCACCAAAACCGTCTCATTTTTACTGGTTCTATAAAGCTTTGAGGGATCATGTACACCAAAACCATCTCATTTTTACTGGTTCTATAATGCTTTGATGGACCATATACACCAAAACCATCTCATTTTTACTGGTTCTATAAAGCTTTGAGGGATCACGACGCACCAAAACCATCTCATTTTTACTGGTTCTATAAAGCTTTGAGGGATCACGACGCACCAAAACCGTCTCATTTTTACTGGTTCTATAAAGCTTTGAGGGATCATGTACACCAAAACCATCTCACTTTTACTGGTTCTATAAAGCTTTGAGGGATCATGTACACCAAAACCGTCTCATTTTTACTGGTTCTATAATGCTTTGAGGGACCATGTACACCAAAACCATCTCATTTTTACTGGTTCTATAAAGCTTTGAGGGACTGTGTACACCAAAACCATCTCATTTTTACTGGTTCTATAAAGCTTTGAGGGATCATGTACACCAAAACCATCTCATTTTTACTGGTTCTATAAAGCTTTGAGGGATCATGTACACCAAAACCATCTCATTTTTACTGGTTCTATAAAGCTTTGAGGGACTGTGTACACCAAAACCATCTCATTTTTACTGGTTCTATAAAGCTTTGAGGGACTGTGTACACCAAAACTGTCTCATTTTTACTGGTTCTATAAAGCTTTGAGGGATCACGACACATCAAAACCGTCTCATTTTTACTGGTTCTATAAAGCTTTGAGGGACTGTGTACACCAAAACCATCTCATTTTTACTGGTTCTATAAAGCTTTGAGGGACTTTGTACACCAAAACCATCTCATTTTTACTGGTTCTATAATGCTTTGATGGACCATATACACCAAAACCATCTCATTTTTACTGGTTCTATAAAGCTTTGAGGGACCATTTACACCAAAACCGTCTCATTTTTACTGGTTCTATAATGCTTTGATGGACCATATACACCAAAACCATCTCATTTTTACTGGTTCTATAAAGCTTTGAGGGATCACGACGCACCAAAACCATCTCATTTTTACTGGTTCTATAAAGCTTTGAGGGATCACGACACATCAAAACCGTCTCATTTTTACTGGTTCTATAAAGCTTTGAGGGACCATATACACCAAAACCATCTCATTTTTACTGGTTCTATAAAGCTTTGAGGGACCATATACACCAAAACCATCTCATTTTTACTGGTTCTATAATGCTTTGATGGACCATATACACCAAAACCA